GCTTGGCCCTGTGGCCCATGGAGCCCACTTCAGAACATCAGTGTTCGAACAGAGGCTCAGAAGCTGACATTGAGGAGAAAGAGGCTCCAAGCTCGTCGGACAGTGCTGTCCTTCACTCGGCGAGCAGCCTTGTGGCAGCGCCGCCGTGGAGCTCTGGTCTTTGGTGAAAATCCAGCAGGTTCGAAAGCCTGGTCTACGCGAGAGATCAGTGAAGCCTTTGATGGATTGGAACAGGTCCGATTTGACCAATGTCAAGTCGGCTTGAAGCACCCGACCAACTTCACGCCGATGAGGAAACGCACCACTTGAAGAGCTGAAAGGGAAACTATGTCCGGGAGATCATGAACACCACGTCATTGAGGGTGGCTATCAGACCGAACAGGGCACTTGGGCCTCGTTGTCTGAGTATGCTGGTGGCTACCCCAAAGAGCTGTGTACTGCTATGCTCAAGGCAGCAGAGACATACCTCACGGCCAAAGCTCACGAGGCCTATGCGGAGGATTACGAGATCGATGACACGGTCCCTGACCTCATGACGGGTGAAGACTTCCTGGAAGAGCAGAAGAGCCAGCAAGAGGCTCAGCTGGATGACAGCTTGCGTTTTGATGGCCATGAACCACAAGGCCCAGAAGATGATGAACGTCATCCGGTGAGCTCGGAAACCCGCAAGGCAGTTGAATACGCTCACCGACAACTGGGACACCCTACGCGAACTTCTCTGGTCCGAATGTTGAAGTTGGGAGGTGCAAGCCAGGATGCACTACGATATGCAAGTCGCTTTCACTGCTCGATTTGTGCGGCTCGCAAGCCCCCGAGGCATCCGAAACCTGCCACGGTGACTACGAGACCTTTTGGATTCAATGTCCACTTGCACATTGACCTCAAGTATCTCTACGATGTTCGACAGAAGAAGTATGTGTGCCTGAGCATTTTGGACCTGGGCACTTGATCACTCACGACCAAGGAGGAGAATTCGAACAGTCCTTCCACGCTCTCTTAGAAGATCTTGCCATACCGTCCCGTGTGACGGGCTCCCATGCCGCTTGGCAGCTTGGTGCAGGAGAAAGGCACGGAGCAACTTTGGGTGTGATGTTTCAAGCCATCGTGGATGAACATGGCATCGCCGGCAATGATGATATGAAGAGGGCACTCGCATGTGCAGTAATGGCCAAGAATGCCACGATTACAAGAGATGGCTACACACCCAATCAGCGTGTCTTCGGAGTTGAGCTTTGCTGGCCAAGCTTGAACTCTGAAGAGGTTGGCATGAGTCAACGGACAGTGAGGTTGCACGGGCGCACAAGATGAGGACAACGGCCCGAGTGGCCCTCAGACAGGATGTCCGAGACAAGTTACGCAGATCTTTGTTGCGCAAGCCTCCGGTCTCAGCTGGACCCTTTATGTCGGGCGCTCAGATCTACTTTTGGACTCCACAGTTCAAGCGCTACACCAGCGGCAGAGGACAATGGAGAGGCCCAACTACCGTTCTTGTCCAAGAGCAGCAGAAGAAGTATTTCGTGAGCTGGCGCGGCAGACTCCTGTTGTTGGCCCAGGAAAACATGAGATTGGCCACACCAGAGGAGCTAGCTCTCACAGAGCCTGTGAAGGAGGACGTCTTAGATATTCAGGAACTGCTCAGAGATCCTACAAGGTCAAACATATATCAGGATCTCAGACCAAAAGCCTCCTCCTCCACGCCCGAGGAAGAAGCCGGAGCCGCGACCTCCAGAAGACCCACAAAGGCTGAGAGCCAAGAACATCCTTCGAGGCACTAAGGAGGTGAGACGTCTACTGGGTCAGCCACCTAGGCCATCGCAAATGCCTCAGCGGCGGAAGAGAAAAGAGTTGAGTCAGCCAGTGCAACCTGCACTGAAAGATCCTCAAGCTCCACAAGATCTAGAAGCTCCTCCACCGGCAGAAATCGTGGCAGCGCCATTAGAACCCGCGCAGCGTGGTACAAGGCGTCGTTTGGCCTTGGAAGATGCGTCTGCATCCGTGGCAGCGCCACCACTTCAACCACTGGCTGAGCCAGGACCTTCCGAAGCAGCAGCGCCTTCATCCTTGAGCAGGATCCCGACATCTGGAGAAGGAGTTCCTATCTTGGAGGATTCTGATGGTCTTAGTACGCCAGAGGACCGGACACCAACGGTCAGACCTTATCCATCAAGACCACCAGCACCTCAGGAGTGGGCACAGATGCCAACGGAGGCTCGTCGACAGCGTCAACCTCCACTACTCAGGAACTTCCTTTGAAGAAAGCTCGACCAAGTACAGCACTTTTCATGCAGGTACTGGTATCGGCTGTGTCCCCAGGTCCTGCTAATGAATGGATCGCCCGATACGAGGTGGAGATGTTGAGGCAGCTGACAGGCCTTCCGATTTCAGCTGCACGACTCCACCGACACCCACGCAAGCGATTCATGAGACCCCCTCGCAAGCGTGCCCGGGTGACTATCTTGATGGGACAAGAGCCTCGCAACGTGTTCATGGTGGAAGAGGATTCAGAAGAAGTGTTGAAGAATCCACGTCGAAGGGCACCATTCATCTGGAGAGGCATGACCCTTTTCTTGAAGGAGGACGCCCCGCTCGTTTCAGGCCACTCTACTTACATCCAGCTTCCGGAGCATCTTTGGACAGAAGATCTACATGATCACCTCTTGGCAGAGGTCATGTTGCTAAAGCTCAAACAGAATGGTAAGGAACTGGATCCAAAATACTTTGATGAAAAGGAGAAGGCGGAGTTCCAGGCATCTGATGCCAAAGAGTGGCAGCAATGGATTCGTAACCGCGTGGTGAGGCGGTTGACCAAAGCAGAGGAAGCCAAGATTCCTCGCCACCAGATCTTCCGAGGACCGTTGAGAATGGTGAGAGTCAACAAGCAGACCTTGATTGCAAAGTCGCGCTTGGTCGTCCCAGGACATCGAGATCCCGGCCTTGGCCATTTCCGCAGCGACAGTCCTACGGCTACACTGCAAGCAGTCAGAGTTTCCAAAGCCACAGCGGTCCGCAATGGCTGGAAGGGCTGGTCATTTGATGTGACCACAGCTTATCTATCAGGAGAGAATCTGCAGCGCAATGTGTATGCGCGAGCTCCTGAAGAAGGACTGCCTGCCGTGGACGAAGAGCCAGCTGTGAGTGGAGGTGAGCTCATGCAGATCCTTCACTCAGCCTACGGCCTTGTTGAAAGCCCTCGACTCTGGTACTTGAGGGCAAGTAAACTGTTGACATCGACGCCATTGAAAGAGATGCCAATCAGCAAGAGCAGTTTTGTTGCTTCTGATGATTCCCAAGCGTGGGCACTGCTCAGCCTTCATGTGGATGATGGCTTGCTGTTCGGCTCAGAACAGGATGAACGCTTCAAGAAGCTCAAGAAAGACATTAATGGCATGTTCACGATCAAGGAGTGGAAGACCATTCCTTTGACCTTTTTGGGTGTGGATTTGAAGGAACAGCAGGGAGAGCTCCATGACGACATGTCCAACTACATCAACAAGATCTCCCTGCCGGACTTGAAGCCTAGTGCCAAGAATGACACTCCCTTGAATCCACAACAGCTGACCTCCTACAGGCAACTGGTGATGAGGTTGCGATGGCCCGGGCAACAGTCCATGCCCCAGCTTTTGTATAAGGTCAGCAAGCTTGCTCAACATGCCACTCGAGCTACTACGGGGATTACAAGATGGCTTTGCAGTTGTGTGAAGAATGTCGAGAAGAGGCAAAGCAAGGCCGTGCAGTGCTTCCGTATCCAAAAAGATACCTGGCCGTCTCTTTGTGGTGACATATTTTGATGCCAGCTTGGGCAAAGAGAAGGACGGCAAATCGCAACCCGGAGCAGTGCACTTCCTGACAAATGAAGAGGTGACGAAAGGTCCCTAACCTGCTGCAGCAATCGACTACACGACCAATAAAAGCAGCAGGGTTGTCAGGAGTTCTATGGCCGCAGAATCTTGTTCTCTCAGCCTCGCGGTAGACAGACACCTCTACATCCGCCTCATTGCGGATATGATGATCCATGGCGTCTTTGAAGTCACGCAGGACTGGCGTGCACGCCTGAGAGTCGGGGGTGGCATCGTGACAGATGCGAAATCGTTGTACGATCATCTTTGTACAACCGGGCAAATTCCAACAGAGCGCCAAACGATGCTGGATCTTTTGGTAGCAAAGGATTTGCTCGAGCAAGAGGTGTTCAGGCTGTATTGGGTCCCCACACATCGACAGCACGCAGACGGCCTTACAAAGGCCATGCGAAACTTGTTGTGGGAAGAATACTTGACGAAGAAGACCATCAGCTTGAAAGAAACCGCGGAAGAGAAAGCGACAGAAGATCACCGACGGCAGCTTCGGAAGGGTCAACGCGAGCGCAGGAAGGAGCGCTCAAAGAAGATGGTAGCACCATCAATTCTGGCAGAGCCAGAGAAGTGTGTTTGGGCCACTATGTAGAATGGCAGAGCCATCACGCCGAATTCGCCAACGCACCAACACTCCTCTTTCCCAATGTGGAAAACGGCGAGGGGTGGATACAGGTGGTGTGTTGAGGTGCATGTATGTTCACACCGCAGCTTGCGCAAGTGTTCATGCAAAACGGCAGAGCACCTTTCGGCAGCGCCTTTGCTTTTGAGCCCATACCCACTCCGCATTTATTTGGTTCAGTTGTGCCCTACCTTTCACGTTGCCATAGTGGAAAGCAACCTCACCGCCCAGGCACTCAATGCCCCAAATCCTCACACCCAGTGGCACACACAGAAGATGTGCTCGTCTCACTTCCCCTTTAATTGAAAAGGTTTTCAGGTCAAAGTTCCATGAGTGGGTGTGTTGGTAGTAGTGGCGGTGGTGGTGGATGTTTCTTGTTTTGACTTAAATCAATAGACGCAACCAACCTTACAAACTATTCAGGGTGTGCGGGAGTCATTTGCATCGGCCTCATCAATCATCTTCCAACAGGTTTTCGTGGGATCAGCGTCTCTCAGAAAACGCCGACCAATGACCCGTGCGATCACGAGGCCCTTGCGCAGGCCGCCTTCGAGGATGAGGATGAATATGTCTGCCGCTCTGCCTGGACCTCTTTGGCCTTGAAGGGCTCACTTGGGGTCCAGCACGTGCGGGCGGCGTTGAGTCGCGGCAAATACTTCGATCGCGACGATGCATTTTTCTACAAAGCTTGCTATGCGCTCGAATGGCTTGGCGCAGATGCAGAGGCCCTGTACCAAGAAAAATTGTTGGCCGCGATTCAGGAGGAACCACCTGACAAGGAGCCGCGCAAGGCGGGCCCAGCACCCTACGCCATCCTCAGTGATAAAGAACGTTATGCTATCAAGACGCTGCTGGCTTGCGGCCACGTCAACGAATGTGTACAAGAACTTTTTAAACACAAACCCCGCGGATCTGTGCTTGACACCGTACAGCAGATGTTTAATGTGTACAACGGCATGGAGGAGTACAACCACTGGGCGGACCTAGATGCTGACGTTGCCAGGCCTTTGGTGGAGATTTGTTTCGACGACTCACTGAGTGTGGCGCCGCGCAAGAATATGTTGAGGAGTGTGGCCGAGGCCAATGAAGGATGTGGCCACATGGTCTTGAGCATTTTCATGGAGAAGAAGGTCCTGCCACTGAACCCCAAAGATGAGCGGACACTCCTGTTTGTGGAGTTTGCATGCTCTGCCAAGAAGGCCAGTTCATTTTTATGAGGAACTCTGATTGATTTGTGGTTTGAACATGTTAAAACCATGAAATACCGGATGAAATTAAATCCAAGAGACTCCATGCGTTTGGCATACTTATCTACATTGGGGTGGTTGGTTTCAGGGGTCTGTGTTTTTAGGAATAGCATATCTTTAGACTCCCAGGGGATTGGGGAAGAAGGACATCTTAACAGATTCGGTCCATTTGGGTGATGGACCGGTGTCTCACGGCCTGTCGTCATCGCCCAGTCGTGAGCGCCGTCGAACACGGCGGGTCGCTGTGGGTCGTCTGGGTCGTCTGTCGCAGCCCACCAGAACAGGACAAGACCTCAGCATGTTTGCCGTCTTCGTCCAACATCGGACCGTTCCCCCCTCCGCACCGTGCGCGGCACGACGCTGGCACGAGCGGCGGCGCGGCACTGGCGGACCGCCCCTCTGAAGGAGTTGCGCGGAGGAGTCACGAAGTTCCCATCCGTCGACGTGTGTATTGAAATAGGGAGACACCCCGTTCTCGACGCCCCTGGCTGCGCTACATGGTCAGACCATGGTCAGACCTTCCGAACCTTCTGGAAGGTGGAGGATCTCGCTACTGTCATCCACACCTCTGGCATTGGGCTGGGAGGTCCCAAAGCCACCGAGGCAAAGGCGATCCCATGAGTTTCATCTTTCGATGCCAAGAGAACGCTCGGATCGTCCGGACCGATCCAACTTCCTTCGCCTCCGCTCTGAACAGAGACTCCGAGGAGGACCAGAGGAGGAGGACCACCGGACAACCGTTTTTTCTTGTTCTTCATGTCTCTGCGCCCATAGTTCTTTCTCAAAGTAGTGAGGAAAGGCAGCGCAAAAGGAGCGCGGAACGTTGAATCTGACGGGACAACCACGGCCCTGCCAGGCGCGGTGGTCACTCTTCAGGAGCGCCGGACGAAGCTGATAAGGACGATCTGAACTTCTTTTAAACAACAGCATAAGCTGCATCATCCGCAACCAATGCTGTCATGATTCGCAAGTTCCGCTTGGATTTCTCTCTCTCTCTCTCGCCTTGTTGGGCGGGTGCGGGGTGCGAACGATGCCATGGACATGGGCCGGCTCAATTGATTCGATCTCTGAACTCTTTTGCCTCCTTAAGTGTTGTGGTTGTATGACCATCTCCAGCAAGATGAGGTCATTGAGGGATGGTTTGCCCTTGAGACGGGCCGTAAATAACTTTGCCAGATATGCCGGGAACAATTGACCGGCGGCAAGTTGAGTATGAGACTCAAACGGCCTTGTAAGGCTCTAGGTGGGTGATCCTACCGCTGTGCTTTGTTTGTCAAAAACATAGTTCCATGGTCTGGTTTGGTTGATATTCCATTCCTATCAAGTCCCTCTAGGTTCATCTTCCATTTTCCATCCGAGGTCGTGTCTAGCTTCCAAGCAAGAGGTTACAAACGAGGCTCGTACGGAGCCAAGTCTCAGTTGTTGATGCTGAAAGCTCCCAGGTTCGAGTCACCTCGTCCACCAACCACTCCCATCGGCCTGTCAGAGGGAACCCGAGGACAAGGAAAGGCCAGGCCTAGTTACGACACCTGCTTGCAGAGGAAGCACTCCATGTGGTGGAAAAATTCTCAGATATGTCTATATTGACCCCTGAAACCAACCACCCCAATGAAGGATAATGAAGGTAAATATGAAATACATGGAGTTTCAGGGTTTTCACACCTTTTCCAACTGTTGAAGTGGTGTGAGCATACAGCCTTGGCCTTGGTTTGTACTTCCAGCTGTCTTGTTCCATCATGTCCGGGTTGCCCACCTGAAGTCGGTCGTTTCGTTGCCTGTTCACTCTGCGTTGGTGCGAAAAGCTTGACTTGTGAGCTGTCACTGACCTGGCACTGAGCTCTTGCTTCTCAACAGTGATGTGCTTCATCCGATCGAAGCCCACCTTCAGATCTGGCAACAGGTTGCAACAAATGGCTGTGGGTCATGGCACTCTGGTGTCCCTTTTCATCCCTTCACGCTTTGCCGGCGGCGCCGCCTGGCCCCTTTCTGACGGGCGACTGGTCGACTCGTCTTCGTGAGAAGGTGGTTCACCACCCACAGCGGAGGTCGTGGGTTGGTTTTGGGGGGTCCTCATTCCAAAGTGGAAGACCTTTTCTGGATTTGTGCCTTCCTGTATTTATGAATGACCGTGATTTGAACTTTGCATTACAGTTACCCATTCGAGGTGCCTTTTGTAAGTGTGTGTGTGGCTGGCTATCTGCACTTCTTTTTAAATCATACTTGTCAGAGTACAGCTCTTCAAACACGCTCACAAAATAAGGCTTGTGGCTAGCAATGTTGGGTTTGGCCCAAAAAAATCGGGCAGGCCGCCAACTTTGAGAGCCATATCTGGTTGACTTGATCAAGACACTGTGTGATAGCTGCACAAGTGCATGTCAAGAGTTCTGGTGAAACAAAAACCCCTTCCTCCCAACTGGTTCCCTGGGCATTCGCAGTGGTAGCGGCCGACTCCAAGTGCTTGGATGTTTCTCAACCAATACTTCTCTTGAGATGTTTTTTTCCACCATTCTCCACCTGGTGGAAACCAGTCTTGTCAGGTGCCCTTTCCTCCCGAGCATGTCGGCGCGCTCTTGCAGCTCGCGCTGTCGGATCGTCGTCCAGATGACTTCGAGCGTTACGGCGCTGTCTCAACGCCGGGCTTTGCCCCGCCACCGCCCCCCTTGGGCAAACCAGGCCGGGAGGCGTCTGTGGTGGACGAATGAAGCACTTTTTGGGGACGACAGATCCCCAAAACCAGGTGAAACCAGGAGATTTGCGGTCCCAGATCACACATCTTTGCAGGCTCAGGCGGTGATAGTGAATTTGTCAAGTGGGATGATGACTCCAGCCCGAAATCCTTTTTGAATACGTGATCCATAGCAGTTAATAACGATCCCCAAATAGATTTGGTTTAGCATGTATTTGGACATTATATGTTACCAGTTTTTGCTAATGGATATCTGGATCCATTTCAATCCCGCGATCAGCCTTCGTGACACCGGAGTCAGAGCCATTGAACATCGGGGCAGGGCGTCGACGTCGACCGCAACACCAGGTGATTTTCCCTGGATGACCTTGCACAGTGCTGTTGGTGTTCACGTTTCTGAGCTTGGAGCCCATGTAGATACTTTGATCTCCACGATCGAGGACAAGACCTTGCCTCTTCGCTTGCGCCTGATGGCTACTCACTGGCTAGCAGAGGTGACAAAGCTAAAAGGGATTTGCTCTGGTTGATCGAGTGTTCCTGCACCACTCGTGAAGATAAGTCACTAGCCAAGTCTTTGTTTCGACATGGTGCAGGATTCTTGCTCCAGAAGTAGGTTTAGCAGCAGTGCAAGCTTCTTAACTGTGCGGGATGTGATTTCATCAAACATGCACTGTTAACATCTGTTTATGTTGGATTCATAACTTGAGGCTGTGTGTTGGCCAGAAACCTTGCCCCGATTTCCGTTTTTGGAGCACAGCCTGTGCCAAGCCGAGGTGAAAAGGACTTGCCCAGCCAGAGTCACTCTTCCTGTGAAGTTCCTGGTGGAGCTTTTTGGGCACGAGGCCATCGGGGTCCGCTCTCAAGCCATCAATGCCTTCAAAAACTGCGGAACCATCCCAGAGTCCTTGTCGTATCTCCCTCAATTGGCCAAATGCTTGGAGGACACCGAATTCACGGTTCGCAACGCTGCTTGCAACGCCTTCTCAGGTTTCGATGCCATTCCCTGCCTTCGGCCATACATCTCTACCATTGTGGCCATGAACATGGCAGCGGATCAGACGGCGCCTTTTGGCGGCGCATTGGTATGCCAACAACTGGATGTCTTCAGGAACGACTTGGTTGGTCAGGAAGAGGAAAGGCAAGTCCTGGCCATGGTTCGGTGTTTGAGTCGATTTGAGAGTGGGGAGGATTCGAACAAAGCGGCGCTTTGGGCCAAACTACTTCGGCCAGATCAGCTGGAGACAGACATTGTCAAAGGCATGGCCTGGCTAACACTGCGAAAAACAGAAGAAAAGCAAAAGCCAGGACGAGGCAATATATACGCAAGCGACCAGAGCAGTATTGAAACGGCAAAGTTTATTGCTGCGCTTGGAAAGAAGGGGAGAGTCGCAATGGAGGATTTGCTCCGAGAAAGACCGAAGGACATAGACTTCAACAAGCTTTTAACTTTCACCATTGACTCAATCAAGAAGCTGGAACCCAATGACCCACGACTTCCAGCTTTACTACACTACGTTCAGGGCAGAAATGGTGCTTCTTCAACCCAACAGGCTTGCTGGGATTTGCTGCAACGGAGCGGCAGCACAGGTGATCATCCTGCGCTCAAGCAGGTCTTGCCATTGGTCGGTCTTGCCATCTCTCAGGACAGAGCAGACAAAGCGCTGCACCGACAACTTTTCCACCGCAGACTCTTTTTGTATCCGCAGCCGCGATACCGTTGAGGCACGCTAGCTTGGCGCATTTGGAGCAAACAAACTTGGCTCCGTGAGAAGAACGCACAGGTTCTATTATAGTAATGGTTTTTTGAAACGCTGGCATTCGCCTAGATACATCGGATTTGATCACACAGACCATAGCAGGGTGCCTCTGATTGCCTACGCCGTGCTCCATGTCTCACTTGTTAGTGAATTCGACCTTGGCCAGCGAAACGAAAGCTGTGTCTCGCACCGAGTTCAAGGCGCCCCCAAAGGCTCCATGTTCTGTCCAGGTCAAGAGGCTAACCCAACTGAGTTAGAAGGTGCTGCAGTTGAATTTTCTCTACAGGATGGTTGCTTTGTTAGTTTGGAGAAATGTACCTTGCAAGCCGTCCGTGGTGCTTTGACGCGCTGTTTTACACGTAATGCTGTCAGCCTTTGGTTCATTCACGTAGCATGTGTTCCACTTGCTCAGCCACCAGTCTGCCCTGCCCTCAGCAAGAACTCATTCTCATGCTATCACTTCCACCACTGCAGGTGGAGGAAGAGCCTTGATCAACGCCAGCCAAACAACCGCAACCTGCGCTGATCAAAAAGGGTGCCCAATGTTGAGGTGCCAAAGAGATGGTGCCTTTGAGTCGGTGCGTCACCGGGCGGTTCCCGCAGGGGTGAGGCGAACGGCGGCGAACGAAAGAACAGCCCCAAGGCTCGGAGGTGAGCGAATCGTGGAAGCAACCCTAAAAGATCAGGTCGAAGGTGAGCGACCCATGAAGGGAATTGAAGGGAATCTTTTTTTGTACCTGAAACAGACTTCCCTCTTGTCAGAAGGGAATATATTGCCTGGCTAGGCAGACTGGAGCCTGTGGGACGATGTTGAGTCTTGAAACTTCATCGCTCATCCTGCTCGTCCCATCAAAGACCTTTCAAGACGAGGGAGGACGTCCTAGTCAAGATGGTTTGTCTACCCTATAGAATCCTTGGACCCATGCGGAGGAGTCCGGACCTTCCAAACCCCCATGTTTCAGGGGGCCCGGATTCTTTCAGTCGATGGAAAGAATCCGCTGGATTTGACCGGATCTCGCTGGTGAGGGTCTTTGAGATCAAAGGTAGTCAGCTCCCCGTCGCTCATGTTGGCGCCGACACTGCTCGTGCTCTTCTCTGCAGTCCAATCGGAGACTGTCCATGAGAAAGCGTGGGAACACTTTGGGCTCTTGAACGAGCTCCGAGCGGAGGGTTGCTTGGCTGGGATCCAAAGGGGCCAGCTGACCCAAATCACAAGTCCGAAGGCCGTACCTTTTTACCATTCTTACATGTCCAAAAACATCACACAAACTCTGTGCTCGATCGATCCACTAAGAACACCGAACAACAATGTGTTCGATCGGGCCTCCCTGCTCTTAATGCCACTGCTCTGCCAGGCTTCACCTGCCCGAATGGTGCTTCCTACGACCCGAACCCCGTGCCCTTGCGCTTCGACTGCAGACTCTGGAGGGCGGCGCGGCTGCATTCTGAGGACCCACACCGTTCGTCGAGAACGGTGCCGGCGGCGCAGACACGAACGAGTGTGATTGAAGAAACGAGCGGGATTTGTGGGGTGGATTTTATGGGATTCTTGGAAGTATTGGTGCTTACAATAGATAATTTTTTTCGGGGGACGTAGGGCTCCATCAGGTATAAGAGAAGTGTTTTTTGGCCGTCTACCCGGAAACCATCCGGTTCTAGTACATTCAGCGACGGAACACGCGAATGATATAAGCGAAAAAAGACCACGGCCTTGCATTCCGCAGGACATGGCCACGCAGGGCTACTTCTCGCATACCTCCCTGGACGGTCGTAGTCCTTGGGACCGTGCCGAAGAGCAAGGCATCAGCGCCAACGGGGAGAACATCGCGGCGGGTCGATCGACGGCGTCCGGCACGTTGCAGCAATGGAAGGACTCAGATGGACATTGCAGAAATATGATGAATCCGAATTTTCATGTTTTTGCGATTGGTTATGCCTATGAGTCCTCTGCAAGATACAGGTACTACTGGACTCAGATGTTTAAGAGTAGAGATGTTTCAGACCTCGATACTTCTTGCTATTCGACCACCTCAAGCACCTCTGTCTCAAGCACAAACACTGAAACGCTCACAGAGACAACTGCCAGCAGCACGGAAACGAGCACCGAAAGCACCACTACCACGGTGACCACAGAGAGCTCCACGACTCCGACTGCGACTGGAACAACCACCGGTACTTCCACTGGTACAGTGACAGAGACAGCGACTGGGACAGCCACTGGCACTGCAACAGGGACTCAGACCGGGACAGCGACTGGAACGACCACCACAGCAGCGACAGCTTCGGGGACGTCCACCACGCGTGCGACGACGACGTCGTCCGGAAGCGGAAGCGGGACTTCGACGAGTCGATCAACAACAACGAGTCGATCAAGTACTCTTTCTGGCACCCAGACTGGCAGCTTTCGAAGCGCTGGCACCAGTGTGACCTCGACCACTGCCAGCACCAGTGGTGCCACGAATGAATCGACCTCGTCGCTGGTCGAAGGTGAAGGCGAAGGCGAAAAAAGCACCACGTCTGTTGCCTCGAGGATCGAAGGTAAGCTGATTTTGGAAGTCTCAGACCCACAGCGCTTTCTTGAGGCATCAGATGAGCTGCGAGGACCGACCTTCGGGGCCTGGCCTTGCTTTTGGGTGGTCATCGGGTTGGTTTAAAGATCGATCTTTTACCCTCCCTCCAACAATCATGGAAGTGGAATAGAGCCTGTATGTAGAGGAAAACAGTCTTCCAAGGGCCATGTTCCACTTCCATGTTTGCTGGAGGGAGGGTAGTGATAATCATCAGGGTTATATAAGTCTTTCGGGGTCTACAAACCGGTCATCACCACACGGAGTAAACATAAAGGACGAGGCGGCCTGGCGAGAGAAGATGCATTTGTGTGGTTAGTTGGTTGCGAACAGGGTTCTTGATTTGCAGGAAGCACCATGTTTGGCCTGAATGAAGTTGGGCCAAGAACAAAAGAACAACCATATCTGTATACCGTATATATATATATATTTTCGACAATGAAGTGATCCTTTGGGAAGGTCGTTAAGATATCCACACGGTATCCACAGACCCGTTGGGATTGGACATATTTGGACAAAGGAGTTGGCTCGACCCTGCCCCCTTACTCAACCTCTAAGCTTCGGATTTCCGGGTGAATCCGAGACGCGGAAGACCGAGAATGGACCCGAAACAGGAGAAGACAGGAGAGCAAGTTCAAACCTGGATGCCCGTGAGGGGACTGCGATGGCGTGTATGTGTTGCCCAGACATCTTTGGAAGACATCTGGTAATAATTAATATTTTTCATGACCACTTTCGACCGTCGAAACGGTCAAGAAAACTGCCGATGCCCTGATATTATAAGCCCAGGTGGTGCTAGAAATGTCGGCCGCAAACTAACATTTTGAACATCACCGGGACGTATGTATTTTCTTCAAAAACGTTGAACAAACACGGAAAATGACTAAAACAATCGCTACTGTAAAGCCTTATCTCCAGAGAAGAAAGTATGCTAAGAGGAGAGGAAGTTTTGAGGTAGCAGCTGGGCCGAGCACCATTGGCGCCACAATACGAGCAACGATGTTCATAAACTACATACATGTTGCAAAAGCGCTGTAATTTACAGTGTTTTCTGCCTAGTCATGCCCCCAAGAATTTGCATCTTTCCTGCCAAGACTCTGCTGATGCTAATGATGCTCGACCCAAATTTCTCCTCTAAGCTTGTATCCATTTTCAATGCTTTATTTTCTATTATGTTTGGCAGGTACTTTTTCATCAGTGACCATTTTTGACCATTTTCACTGTGTTTTTGATGTTTTTTGACGAATCCACCTGAGCTCGGGTGATGCTAGAGAAATGCGGGTCGGCGGCATCGGGGGCGTCTCCGTATAGCAAGCTATGCTTGATATGGCCACCGGGACGGCGTCGCCGTAATTTCCACGATATTTCAAAGCACAAGGAAAAGTGCAATGCTGGACAATATTTACGGAAAATTGAGATATATGTTATGATGGGGTGTCCCCAGGAGAGGTAGACGTGGACCACAAATTCACTGGGATAAATAATCTTATCAGGTTTCTGCGGATGACTGGGCTTCAAAAAAAAGTCTGGTCAAGCTGAAGTGTTTGTGAGGTGTTCAACATGCTGCAAATGTCCAGTCCACAAGTTTCTGCCATATTTCAGCAGATGGCCGCCATATTCCCGCACATGTCCGCCATAGACTTGTTTGTCAAATGTTGCAAGTTGCAGCGCCTCCAAGAGTTACCCCTTCATCAAACGTGGAGAGTTTGTTGGAACGCCCAAAGTTGGAGAGTTTGTTGTGTAGTGCTTAATCAATTCTGCACCCGTATTGTGTCCTGTTGCACCAGGTGCAGGTCAAGATCCCCAAAGAGCGCAAGAAGGGACATATGGTATTTTTTTGCATACAAAGGTTGTTGCAGGAAGGTCGTTCCCAATTCTGCCGATCAAAAAGATCCTCCCACGACGGTATCAGGACCCTTGAAGTCCTTCTTGGCCGAGTTCCTGGAAGTCGACGTGAGTCGCATTTCCATCCACTCGGTGCGTGAGTCCTTGCGGCGTCGTTTGGCCTCCTTGCGACGGCTGCTGGGCACCAACCTGGATGTGGACTACTCTGTGCGAGTGGAGACTCCGGAAGAGCTCACGACAGTGGTCACACACATGGCTTCAACAGAGCCAAGCCGAAGCTTAGTTCAGAACTCCAGTCATCATCTTTTCGCCAAAGGTTCTTATGTGCTGGCTTGGACCTTTCCAGGGATGAGCATTCTAGAGGAAGAAAAACACTTTTGACATGGGATCATTTGACCCTTAAAGAGACATGGAACTGGTAAAGATTGTCACAGGCAGCTTGGAAGAATCCTTATGAGGTGGGTTAAAGACAGCCAACGAAAAGAGGACGGTTTTGGGGGTTGGGTTTTGGGTTCGTTTTGGTGGGGCCGGGGCCGTCATGGTGTTAAGGAGTGAAGGAAATGCTACAGGAGAATTTGCAAGATGATCTGGTTGAGATGAACATGTCCGTGGAAGTGGTGGATATGCAAGTGACGCAGACTCCACAGCTGTCAATGGATAGTCAGAACCTCAACCAGAATGCCGCAGAACCCCTGGATCCGATTTGGCTTTTCTTTGTGATTGGAGGTTCAGTTATAGCTTGTGCTCTTTGCCTCTGCGGGTGCCTGGCCATGGCTTGTCTCAAGCGAGCAACGCCTTCACTGGACCAGAAGCGAGATCGGAGCAGTTTGCCAACAATTCATGGCCACTTGAATAGCCAGGGCCTTCAAAAGTGTGCCAGCAATGTGACGATGGCCTCTGGCAAGAGTGGACCCTGTGTCGTCTCTCGTTTGTAGTCCCTCCACATCCGAGGGGCGACAAATCAAAGGGCGAGCCTGTTTGATCTTCGGAGCCTGTTTGGGGCTTCCTGTAAGGGTTGATCACATAAGGAATGAACACGTCCCCTCAAAGAATATAGACTTCCCAGGATTTGCTATAGTTTGCTAGCTGGTAGGCAAATATTTGCTATTGTTTGCTGCTAGTGTTTCAGTGTGTCTTTTGGAATTTCATACATCTTCGGCGTCTTGTAAATAGCAAACAGAAACTGACCACCTCAAACAACTCTTGCAGTAGACCCTTTTCCAAAGAAATCTAGATCTCGTGCACTCCAACCCTACAGGTCAACAAGTTGCGCAAGGACATGACCACGTTTTTTTTGGGGCACCCTTGAAGACATCCACCATGATCAGCCCGAGCACCGTGCCTAGCACCTGGAGATGGCTCGAAAACATGAAGCCCCTGACGGGAGACCAATCGTTCTGTTCGTGGTGCCACCTTAATATTATTTCCATCTGTTTTGAACACTGTCATATAGTAGATAGATCTACAATAATCAATTAACTCCAGTTTCCGAGTCAGATCCATCTTTAAAGTCTCCACAAGTTGAGGCCATTCCCATGAGCGTAGACCTCTTGCCGCCTAGCCTGTCGTGGCCACAGCCGTGGCGCCCTCTCTCGTCAAACGACGACAGATCCCGAAACGGTACAGCTGTGGTTGCGCTGGGACCCTCACCGAAGAAAAGGGAATCCGGAGCTTTTTCCAGAGCAGAAAGCGTCAGAATGGCTTGCGATGGAACATGATGGAACGAAGTTTTTGTAATTAAGTTGACCTGTTCATACCTGCACCATCAGTGTTTGCTAACTGCATATCCTTGCACCCTTTAAGTGTCAAAACCAGCAGATGTGTTTGCAGCAGAAGGGGGGCTCAAAGCAGGCTGAGCCCATGAAATGCCTGGCACACAGCCCGGGGGCGCTCGCGCTGCTCGTGGTGCCACGCGCGCACCACGCGTGGTTCCATGGCATGGTTCAGCTGGTGTTTGGCGGCCATAGCAGTTGCACAAGACTGCCAGGTGTGGGCGATAGGGTGGGCGGAGGCTGGGGTTCTTCCACTGAAGAAGACAAAAAAAGTAGAAGTAGAACGAAGAGCTTGCGCTGGGGGCGTTTCGAAGTGCTAAGAGTGGGAGCCGTTCAACGGAGACGAAACGCCCCTTCAACGGGAGGCCTCGTAGCTGAGAAAAGCACCAAAGGTCAGAGTTCAGAGGTGTTTACAGGACTCGATTCACTTGGAACATCCCATGAATGCCAAGCAACTCCTGATTCCAAATGCATGGAACGCTGCGAACGCATTGCTTCGCATTGCTTCGCATCGCTTGGCGCATTGCTTGGCGCGGACATTGGACACATGCATGTTTCAAGTAACGTCAGATCTAAACCACTCCATGTCCGATCGAATCACTGCAATATCAGTCCGCGAGGTACCTCCCTCGCCGAATATGGGATATCCACCCTGCTTGGAGGGCCTCACTGTGCCAGATGGTGGAATATGCACTCCACAGTGTGTTTCAGGCCAGAAAGCGTGTCTTCGTTTTGTATGGCAAGTTCGCAGTGCATGATGTTTAAGACTCGGCAATTCAAGGCCTCAGACCTCCCAACTCCGACTCCCAGGATTCACACCTCACGAGAATCAGATGCTTTGCACCGATGGCAACCTCAGCCTGGGTGGTCGCGCGGTTTCGAAGTCGCGACGGGTCTGGTGTGAGGGCCTGGGATGTCGTTGTATGTCGGTGTATGTCCTTCATGACATGTGAAGAATGGAAGAGGACAGTGACCCCTGCCTGGCCCTGTAGAAGACCGGCTTCCTTTACCCACATGCGAAGTGATAGGGCATGTTGAAGTCTGGACCACTGTGGGCCCACCAGTCAGACGGGTGATGTGAGGTACAATCACTTGTGTACCAGACTGTATAGCACCAGCAGAGATCTCGGATGCAGCTGACATTCCTTGTGCTGAAGGTAGCTTGGCTCATCGACTGTCGATAACAGCAGATAGCAGCAGAGAGCGCAAAGCGAAGCTTTTTTTGTCCGGGCTTGATTGGTTGTGTCTTCTCATGTATACCTGATCATCACCTTCAAACATCACCAAAGATCACCAAACATCACCAAAGCAACCTGTGTGATCAACTCAAACCTCAAAAAAGCTTCACACCGGTTCCTATCTTCGATTCGTGGAGAATCCCATTTTTCCGAGAATCCACCGACCGCCCTTTAGGGCGCTTAACAAAAACACCCAGGGGAAAACACATGAAAAAGGCCACGGAAGGAAGGACCCATGTGTTTTTCATTTCATATTTGATCCTTTGATATATATATATATATATTTATATGCGTGTTGTATATATATATATATATATTTGAGAAGCTGAGAAGCGTTTTTTTTTGGGGTCCCAAGTTTCCGGCACTTCACCTCCGTTTTGTCCACAGTTCTTTTTCACCTCCAGAATTCCAGAAACTCCTCGCGAGGCATGTCATTGCCACACGGCGGACGCTGTACTCCGGTTTGTTCCAATGGAAGTCTCCCGGTGGACAGCAGCCCGCTGCTTTGTCACAATGGCCAGCTGTTCCCGAGCTCATTCACTTGCCGTCTTTTCCGGTGCGCTCAACCAGCGGGCCTCTTCACCGATACATATCATCCGGAGACACCTTTCGAAGCTTTGAAAGGCAGGGTTGGGGGAAAGTGTTGCGTAAGGTAGTACATGGCACCCAGAAGAACGCTGCACTGTGTTGCGACAGATAGGAAAGACAGATGCACCCCTGTTGAAAGGTGCTGTCACACTTTGGTCTGAGACCTTTCCAAGTGCACTAGACTACCCTGCCGAAGAGCATTGCAGCTCCGCATCTTCCGGTGGAACCGGCTGTAGCACTTGCTACAGCCCCTTGATGACCGTGGAGGTGTCCCCAGACATCGCGACCATTGACGCCCTCTCAGCCGTGGTGGTGGCCTTTGAAGCGATCCAAGGTCGTCGCTTAGCCCTCGCCTTCGAGGAGCACGGATGCCAGACCAACCGCGGCTGTTCTCTCGTCGGTTCCTTTGGCGAGACTGATGGACTTCCCAGAAAGCACCCCGGGACGAGTGTTTGTTTGGAATGGGACTCCTGTTGGTTTAACATAGTCCTACACCAGCACCTCCTATTCCTACATCACCAACACCTGTTGGTATAACCGGTGCTGGTGTATGGATGGGTTGGAGGTTTTGAGACGGTGCCGTGCGGTTCCAGGAGATCGCTGCAACATGGACTTTCGAAGGCGGGCTGAGCGTTCTCGAGGAGTTCTCAACCTTTCCAGAGGAGCTAAGCGCGGCGGTCGGCGTCCTCCGGTCCGCCGGTCCGCGGAGGTCCACGGGATCGGAGCTGGGTCTGAAACGAGGCTGGGAAGTTTGGACCCGATGTTGCCTCGTTTCAGACAGGGCACCAAATCGGGTTTTGAGCCAAAGATGAACCTCCCTGTTTGGAGATCAACATGCGATGTTTGGATGGGTTCAAAGGGGTTTTGCCTAAATACTAAAGATGAGCGGCTGCATCGCACATGGCCGATTGACCCACGTGGACAGATGGTGTGAGGACTTCGTCTTCTTGGAGGGCGAGGTGACCTCTGAGGAGACGCGCCTACCAGCAGGCGTGAGGGGCAGAGAGTGGGCAGGGGGGGGGGTTCCAGGTGACATGGGGTTACACTGTACACTTTTTTCACTTCTCATGGGGTTGAGGATATGGGTGACTACCATAGGATCCCCCAAAATACCAAGGACCTTGCATGGGGCCTGTTGCATGCAACATGGGATGCTGAAGGAGCGACTTGCAACTCGGTTCTTAATTTGTTGGATACGCACTTCAGGAGGTGCCTCGGGAGTCTGCGTCTCGTGGTCAACGTGGTCTTCGACCGGTCCTGTCGATGCTTTAGGGAACTTGGTGGGACCCGGAGACCGGGTTTCTGACCACTGTGTGGCACCTGCAAGTGGTGTGGCACCAGGGTGAGAATGGATTCTGATCACGCCCACATCCAACCTCAAATCTTAACCAACCTTCTATATCCTTCTATTGGATCCTTTACTCTTATCCTTCTCAGAAGATCGAAGATATCGTTGTCCACCTCGTGGCACGACCGCGCTGCGCTTCATCCTACTCACGGCAGCCGAAGAAGAGCCCTCGAGTCCTCGCTGGAACACCTCGTTTCGAGTCTCGCTCCAGGCACTCGGCTGAGGAGTCCCTTTGTGAACACCTGGGGACACCTGGACTCGGGCCCCGCCACTGGGCAGATCGATGTCCCATCGATGTCCCCCGTACGACCAGCCGCGTGCAGCGCGCAGAGTCAGTGTGCAGATCAAGTGGCTTCTTCCCGTTGGTTGAAGTGGGCAAAAGACGGGGCAGTTTGCAGGTGAGATCACTTCATTTGGTCGGTTGCGGGTTCAGTATTACTACCACTCTGAACAACTGCTATACAGTATAGTTAGGCATAGTTACTGTACTCCGTTGCAGGCCTAGAACTTCTTGAATTTTACCTGAGATTTGGCTTCTCCTGCAGCCATTTGCGATCATGAACTACTTCAGTCCCAGCTGGTGAAACAGTCCGTGGCGGATTTTCCCGATCCCCAACCGGTCTTAAATAGCACGGATCTGGAGGCGGATCTACCGCGAACCAATTTGATCAGAGGAATCGCTTCAACCTGGGACATCATCGTGGATCCAGATTCGGGAAGTGGCACATCAGCATCACCTGGTCCTAGCTGCGCCGGTCAGCTTTGCTTTTGGTCTTTCAAGCTCCCTCCGGCCAACACTGCTTTGGGAGCTTGGTTTACCTCGCATGACCCGCCCCAAATAATGGACTCAGGGTGAACCTTGGTTTACCTCGCTTCATCATGCTTCACTCCCCTTTATCTCTCCCTTTATTTTTTCCCTTTCATATTTTCAGACCAAAGACGTGGGTTTGTTCCACCTTCTAAGGACCCGGACAGCGCCAGTGCCGCCCACAGCGTCTACAGCGCCGTGCAGATCGTCCCGCGCTTGGTAAGGCCAGGCCAGGCGCTGGGACTGGCCTTGCGGATGGTCGCCTGGCGCGGTGGGGCGGGCGTTTGGGGAGGGCGAAGATGCGCCTTGCAATGCACATAAAAGAGGATGAAAGGCCAGAGGATTCAATTAGATATCTGATATATGTGTGATGATTTGTGTGATTTCTTTTTTCGGGCCAGGTTGAATTGTGGAGTTTCTGTGTCACTCTCTCTCATGTAGCAACTGTCCATGCGTTTATCATGTTGTTACACCTCATGCTCAATTGGTCAATATGAAATTGCCGCTCCTTCGCAGCTTGATTGAGGTGAAGCTCTCCTTAGTGGGTGATAGTGGGCACAGGTGCTATCGACGGTTTTTTACATTCTTTTTTCTCCGGTCATTTCATAGAGGGACTACTGCAAAGTCACAACAGTAGCAGACTTTGTCTAGGCTTAGAGGTTGTAGTGCTGATAGCAAGACCATTTGAGGAGCCGGCATATGTCACGCACACGTTGTCACATGCCTGTGGCTCGGCTCCTCTACCGTACTTGATGTCCCCAACTACCCGACATGCCCTGTGTGACCTTCTGGGATCGTGTGGGGGTCCTTCCATTTGTTGTGGTTTGTGATACTTTGTGTCTCAGCTCCTCATGCCCAGCGCTTCAGCTCCTTGAGATGTTTGTATGACTGCCATGACCACAAAAGGTTTATGCATCCCATCCCATGGTGAGCTTTTGGCATTTTTGCAAGAAGACATACTCAGGTCTTTAAGTATACCATTCCTGGATGCACCATTGGTCGCGAAGGCCGGGCTGAAGAAGACAACAGGCCTGATCGAAAGTCTTGATCGCCCAAAGGACCCCAATCTTGGTGTCTTTCGGATTCGGAGTCTGTTTCTTTCGAGATTGGCATGATCTAGCGTTTTTTCACGAACCCGATCGAACAAATTCATCGATTGTTTTCCCAGATCTTCTTGCACACGTTCTTTTTTCGTCCAAAACTTTGAGAACTGAGGTTTACCTGGAGTCACCATGTCTTTATCTCTTCAATCCCTGGTCTTCAACCTCACTGCATGTGCTGCCATTGGCGACCTCAGCAGCTGCTCCGTGGCCTGTGCCGAGCACGCCTCAGGGGACGCCACGGCGGTCTGCGCGGCAGAGGGCGGCACCTTTGCCTTCGAGGGCTGCCGGGCGCATTGCTTGGCCCTGCCGCGATATCACCCATCCACGTCACTTAGAAGGAACAGAGGTCGATGTTATAAATACCTAGCACTTCCAACGGGTGCCCTGTCTGGAGACCTGTTTACGTAGGGTGGGGTAGTCTATTGGACACCCATTGGATGACCCTGGTATGTTGTTGTTGTGTTTTAACTGGCGTTTTCTGGCTCTTGGCTTTAGCGTGAGAACAGACTCAGAAGTTTTTCTTGTTTTCAGAGGTAAGAAAAAGAAGTTGTTGTTTTGGTTTTGATTCGTCGATTTTCCCTTCATTTTCCCTAAGCCGTTTGCTTCTTGCTATATCTTAGGCATCCGGATGGTGTGGTCCAAGCGGCTGAAGTGAGCTGTGCAGAGGGCACTTCGATCCTACACGGGGCCACGTGCAGTCCAGTTTGCGAAGAGGAGCAGTCTTTGGGTGGCAACAAGTGCCAGGGAAGAAAGCAGAATCCACAGGAATGAGGTGGAAGGGATGCATGGAGTATTTTGGGGACTTGGAGGTTTGGGTGGACAGTAGTGGTGAGCAAGCAGTTGAATTGCGTGGAGTCTGATGAAAGAGATGGAAAGACCATGAAAGACCTGGGACTTGAGGGCTCAAGTTTGACGCATATCTCCCAATATCTCACGGTTTTTTTGGGAGTTGCTTTGACACATCTCTCACCTCAGCAGGAGCTGATGTCCGACGTCCCCTCCTTGCGGTGCAACGACTCGGCCTTCGAGCCAGCACGCTTCAGCTGCATTCCCACGTGTGCACCGCCGGAGGGTGGGCCTTACGTCCCCCGACCCGAAGCCGTCCGGGGTGCCGGTGCGAGCGTGGAGATAGGGACGCGAAAGCGAAGGGGGGCTCCTGGCCTTACTAAGTAACAAGGTTCGCTAATTAGAAATATTTGAAACAAGAATTTAGAATGCAATTTCATTGGATTTCTTCGTTGGATCCCGACATTCTCCAACCACGCAGAGAGGGGATCTCGAACATCTGAAGAGCCGGGAGAATGAAGCGGGATGAAGCTATGGATTTGATTTAAAACACTGTCTTCCACGACACTGCTCTGCAAGTTTCCTCCATTGTCCTCCAGTTTCCTCCAGGACGTCCCTGCTGAACTGAGCACTAAGCAGCCTCAGCTGCTTGCCGCGTCCCCACTGTTGCCCATCTGAGGCTGGATCACCACCTTGTGAGGAGCGAAGGGTAACCACAGTGTGCCCTGGGTGCCAGAGATGGAACAAAAAGACACAAAAAGACACAAAAAGAAACGGATGACTCTGAGGGTCAAAAATGGAACAACAATGACACTGATGACTTGGTCACATCGATTCTGGACGCAGCTGCATTGAAGGTAGAAGATTGTTCTGTCATTTGTACAAGAACGTTTGCTTATCTATCCATGGGGATAGCTAGGACCCTTGCAAAAACCCTGGAAGTACTTGTGTTGTAGTGTGAATTCATGTAAATTCCTTAGGATCATGATCTACATTTAATATAAATCAATGGCGGTTGGAATCCCAGGAAAAACGGAAGACTATATATAGACACCCCCAGCCCATGCTTGTCCGCTCTCGAGGAGCTTCTCACACAGCAGCTCCTGCGGGAGTGCCATGCACGCTGCCAACCAGGCGTGTAGCTCTGGAGTTGGTGGTCTTCGAGTTCGGAATAGGGGGCTCGAAACCCTTCCTGAAGAACAGGGTTGGTTTGGGGACAAGTCTGTCATCGAAGCAGAGTTTGTTGATGACCAGTTTCGTAAGCAGTTTCGTTGCATACGATATGATACTTGCTGATTTCTTGATAACATTATGATTTTTAAGTATATTTTCGCGTGAGGCAGGTGCTATCGCATGGTAAACCATCTTACCTCAGCAAACCTTTAGTGGCCAACTTTCTGAAAAGCGCAGCCCTTTCAACAAAAACGGCCGATGTTTCCGATGATGTCCGATCTGTCCAGTGGGACCAGCTCCATTCTCCTTGGGAAGCATGAGAATCCCGGCTTCCCACGGTCATCGTCCCGAGGCTATCGGCCCCGCTGGGCCGAGCCGGAGGCGAGTAACGGCCCTGCCACTTGGGAGCAAAAGGTGGAACTCAGTGGGATTGGAGGTTGCTGGGCATGGCCCAAGAAATCCAAGAGTTACAGGCCAAGGATGTTGGTAATTGCCCTCCCAACAAACATGGTTTCGTGGAAAATGACCGCCGAATGAGAACCCTTTTCTCCTCCAAACATGGGGCTGAAGTCCACGCAACCATGCTTGTTGGAGGGAGGGTATTCGGTATTCTGTATTCTTCCTTGGGCAACTCGGAGGTTCTGGAGATCCAACGATCCGTGTGATTTGGAGCATCCAGGTCTCACCACTGGAGCTGGTCTTGAACTGCAGCTTGTCGGGCACTTGGTCGCCTTCCAACTTCGAATGTCAACCGCTGTGGCTGGCAGCTCGTCCGCAGCGGTGGGGCTGGGTTGCTCGGAGCAGTCGGGTGCGGGAAGGATGACATGAAACACAGGGGGTCTTTCAGGATGGATGCAGGATAATGCAGGTCAATTTGGCCAGAGTGAAGATGCTATTCTTTTGCACGCCACTAGTTATATTATACTAGTTGTTTTTTGCACATGAACATTCTTACAAGAAGTAGTGGAGTAGGAATCAACATGACTGACATGGCCAGTATCTACAGTTCTCCTCCCAAACACTAGAGACTTTTCTCATGGGTGTGAGGGCAAGATGGCAAGCTTGCTGGTTTTGGCCTATGTTGCGGCTTGTTGAGATGAACGCTCAGACCCAGTTTTCCTAAGCTTTTCAGGTAGAGATGGCATTTTTTTGGAGGAAACCATACTTCTTTCAGATGCCATATCTGCACCTGTGGGTGAAATCACTTTCGCGAACATCGCGCGGGGCCAGGAGATCTCGGAGGTGTCCGCCGATTGGGCCCACCGCTGGGCGACCTTCCACACGGGCGACGGCGACGGGACTCGGGTCTTTCTGCGTGTGAGTGCGGAGGTCGAGAAGCGAAAGGTCAAGGAGATGGAAGCATTTCTACTGGAGTGGCAGGGCAGTGAATTTCAATCACTTGGACTTCGCAGTATTGGATGGACTCATGCAGCAATTTTAATAGCTTTAAGCTTTTCTTATGTATTGTTTCGGAGGTTCGGACTTCTGCTTTGACCTTTGTTGAGCCAAACAATCTACTGGAGCAGCGGCAGTACTTATTGGTCAAGGGGTCAAGATCCCTCAAGTTCCCAAGACTCTTGGCTTCCGCTCCTTCAGAGACCTTCAGGAATGCTTCAGTGGAAGCCTTAGAGGCCCTGCCCTATTGGTCCCACTCTTCCCTCTACCTCGTCACCACCCGGCTCCGCGGTGACGCTCCCGCCGCGCCCGGTGCCTCGTCCTGCGCGCCGCTTCTGCGGCTCAGCTGGACGAGCGCTGAGCTGCTGAGCGAGGAGGTGCAGCGCTTGCCCTTCGCGGAGCTGCCGGGGCCGCTGCAAGTGCTGGCCACGCCCTGGAACCAGGTCGCGAGGGGTTTTGGGTGGTGGAGAAGCCAAAGGGAGGTCGAAAAGGAACAAGTCCAAGGGGTCTAGCAGTCTAGAGGAATTCATCCCACACCCGTTAAAACCATTTAAAAGCCATGTGCCTTCAATATTATGCCAGCAAGTTCCTGATCCACTCTCGTTAGACATGTTCAGGGTGCTTGAACATGTTGTCAGAATGGCATGAGCAGCGCTTTCCCCACTTCTAGCTGGGTTCACATTCCAAAACTGAGAGTTTCTTCGGTCACCGATGGAGTCCGGGGCGAACGAATTGGGATGATGTAAGGGTCCAGGTGATAAAGACCGGAAGGTTAGCTACTAAACCAGATCGGTTTTACCCGAAGACTACATGAATGTCACCGCATCATCGTGCCTGTGTTATGAAGCGGTGACCTTCAGCGTTCAGCCAGGTGATCATGTTGGTCCCTGGGATGCCAGGACAAGGTGCGGCCGGGCCACCCTGCAACGACACCGAGGCTACTTGGCGAAGAAACGCAGGAGGTGTGGAGCTGGTGGAGATCTTTAATTGGATGTATCAACATTTCAGATCTTTTCAAGATAACGTTGATACATCCTGAAGCTGTGGAGATCGTATCAAGAGATCTTAAATAGAGCTGTGGAGATCTTCAATATATCCACGGTTTCTCTCTCTTCTCTCTCTCTCTCTTTTTTTAAAAACAGGATGTTTCAGGTTGAAGGTTCCTGTATCCCACTGTCGTATCCTGGGATGGATGGAATATTCATCCATCCTGGGATGGCCACCAACTGCGGGAACCCCTGTTCGACTACTCACTCGCTGCGCCCGCCCGGTCCGGTGCAAGGTTCCGTGCGAGTCCGCCGATCCCCAGAACTCGGAGAGACCTTCCGGTGCTTTCTGTAGGTCCTTTGCGCCAGTCGGCCGACCCTAAGGCCAACAGCAGTGAGATTTTGGAGCTACCAGCCATGTATTTCTGGAATGGCATGCGCTTTGAGGCGCCTGGGACCGGTGCCAGGGCATGTTGAGCGACGACATGCCATTTACTCGGACCGGTGCGGTGCGTCTGCCCGTTTTCCGGAAAGACCGGTGCTGTGCGAATCTTGTAAGAAGTTGAAGGCAGGCTGTCTCAGCATGCTAGACTGACTTGAGGCGATCATCTGGGTACAGATGGTGCATCCTATTTTTTCAATAGACATCAGATATTTGAGGGGTTTCTGACATCCACTAAGTACTGAAAGTGACAGAATTCCAAAGATTACCTTGTTTCACAACCCTGTAGCGCAGAGAAAACTTGGTACTGGGTGAAGGCCATCCTGGATCCACTTTTCTCTGGCGTCATTGTATACAGTGAACGCCTCACATGTGTTTCTCAAAGTTACTGGTGTTTTTCCGCTTTGGTAGGCCTGAATGGGGCTACTGGACTGAAATTCCATCCTCGGTCTCGTGAGACTCAGGAGTCTCAACGCTTGGAGCATGGAGCCACACTCCTTGAAGTCTTCGTTTGGCGGGAGCAGGTCATGGTGCTGGCCGTTGGAGGCGGACGGTGTGACCGGCGTCGAGCGGCGTTGAGCCACGCCGCGCAGCGCCGGTTCGGTCCAAAGCGAGGAGCTCCACCCATTGTAGCGGTAGACCTTCGAGGAAGGTCGGTCGTGCCGGGCCGGGGTCGGTCTGCCAGTCCCCACGACGCCAGGTGGGTTGACGTTGCGAAGCAAATCGGCGTAGCGAAGTCATGTCAATTGGAGGTTTGAAGTGTCCGGACTGGCTGATTTGTGCTGCAAGCCTATGAGCCTATGATTCAATCTACAGGAAGATGTGCCCCATGACCAGTAAGAGTCGGTAAAAGATTATATCACTAGTTACAGTAGTCACCAGTTTTGGGAAAGGCATCATCACCATCATCACCATCATCACCATCATCCATCATCCATCATTCACCATCCACTGCAACCTCATCATTAGGATAGTAATACCTCACAATCATCAACGAAGGACCTTCCCGGCTCCGCTGTCGTCGCCAGGCGACGTCTCCTCACTCTACGCCATGAACCGGACGCAGTCGGAGCTCTGGCTGCTACTCAATGTCTCTCTCGGTGGAATCTCTGCCCTGGTGTGGCTTGGGTGTCAAGACGACTTGGGCTTCCTGGATGTCAGTGGAGCCTTGGGACACGCCTGGACAGTTGGCCCAGGGTTCCCCCAGACGGTGAAAACAGAGAGATTTCAGTCAAACGTGCTTTCCCCCATAAAGACCAAAGATCAGCGCTGCTTGAAGTTGATGATGGACGATATATCTCATCTTTTGATATGTCAGAGATGATGTCGACGTTCAGGGTTAACCTTATCAAGTTGAATCTGCCCTTCACTCAATCCATTAGGACAATCCTGCTCTCAGTTGAGCTCCGCCTCTTGCAGTGCTGAAGACATTCGACGAGCTTGCGGTCGTTCTTGTGGGTGCCCTCATGATTTTCCCTTCTTGGCTGTGGCCTTCAGATCACCACCCAGCCTCTCTATCTTAGAGCTCAGCGACGACCCGCCACAGCTGATGCCAGTGACCGGCAGGACCGCCCAGCCGATCCGAAGCATCACGGTGACCTTCGCCTGGGCGATTTCAGAGCAATTCCTGGTGACAACGCCTTTTAGTCTCCTGAACAATTGCCTCAGTCGTTCTTGTTTTCCATCAATTTCCATCACTGATCTTCTTAAAAGAATAATGATATAATTAGTTCCGTGCCGTGAAAACCTCTTCTTTCCCAACGTCGACCGAGGCTTGGAAGAGGACGCTTTAATCTTCACCTGGCGTCCAGTTCTTCGACAGCTCACATATGTTCAAACGCTTCGGCCCGCACGCACCGGTGCCTGGGCAGTCTCCAGCAGCAACGTGAGCCTTCTGTTGAGTGCTGGCAGAGACTCAGGCACGCAGACAGGGTCAAACATGGCCAGTTGGGGTAATTCATGGGTGCTGAAGCAGGGGGCCCAAGTCCAAGTTTGGTGTCGTGAGGAATGATCTGTTTTTTTGTTTGTCTTGAGGAATGATGATCCCAACTGAACATCATGCTAACATTTTAGGGGCAGGGTTGAAACTACCACGGTCACCCACAGTCACCTTTTCACCTCGTTACATTGGGAGGCCTCAACGAATTGGGCAGGTTTTCCTGAATGGGTCACCCCTGCACTCGGCATTTGAAAAGAATGAAGAGAAGCACAAGTCTTCCCTACAGGAGTGGCCGACTCACGGCTTTATGCGGTCGATGCGACCTTCGACTGGTACGCTGGACCCTGGGGCGAATGCAATGGCACCTGCCGCGGCAAAGACTTCGTCTTCCGCCATCGGGAGGCGAAAGGGAAGGACCGAGGTGGCGAACGTTGCAAAGGATCGCCTGTGATGGCCTCCAACCGATGGCATGCGATGGCCTCCAACCAAAGGTTATAGCCTATAATGTGTTTATTTTGAGTGATTGGCATCATCTTCTTTAACCAGCGTTTCGGTTCGCTGTCTAGGGTTCCCGAAAGTTCCGATCTTTTGTGAGATGCATCGCGAGATGCATGGAGGTTCCCTTAAACGGTTGGTGCAGGTCTTCGTTGCATTGAGAACCAGAACTGAAAGAAAGATCCCGGAGCGCAAGCCCCGCGCTCATCTCGTGATATCTCTTGATTTCACTCGCTTGTCAGGTGGCTTGCCGCAGCATGCCCAGCGGGTTGTGGCAACTTGACCCAGGTCATTTTGTGCCCAAGTTAGGACCAAAGGCATCTCAGAGTTCTTCTTTCTTCGGCTGTACGTTTTGAAGGCTCGACAGATGACGTGTTCTTCCATGATCTTCCATTTTCAATGCTTATAAAATCACTCGTCAGAAGGGAGATGAAGGGAGAGCTGTTTTTTGGATCACCGATCTTTTGGCAGCAAAGCGCTCTCTGGTGAAGGGTCAGGTCATCTTTTCTCCGAGGCATCGTGGTGCGGGCTGCCTGGGCACAGCACCGATGACGGAAGAGAGATGCCAAAACTTGGAGCCTTGCCCCAAGGACCGGTGGTAGTACCGGTGCATAGCCGGGCGTTGAACGGAGAAGACGAGTTCAACCGTTGAATGAGTGGGCCATCTTTGAGGCGTCAACGGCCCAAAACCATGCAGAAAACGTCACTCACAGACTCACAGCCCTTCCTCAATAGTCCTTGGCTGCCCAAATTCGGGGGGGCCTTGCCTGAAAGATTTGGTTTGGTGACTCTTCCCGAAGGTTTGGTGTCCAGTCCGATGGTTTGGTGGCCGGATCTCAAGAACATCGCCAGCTGCTCGGAATTCTCGGATGCAGGTCCTTTACTATCTGGGCTGCCATGCTATACGAGGCTAATGGAGGCTATAGGCTATAACATTATAGGTATGATTTGGCTATATGCTTGGATGATGGTTCCAAGATGCATATATGGCTTGGGGTGGGAAGTTCTATTTCTTCCCCCATTTGCTCCCCTGCCTTCCCGGGGCGTTGAACCACCTCGGAGGGTCAACCAGTTGCAGGACTCCTTCACTTGGAGCGTAGGGCCTTGGAGCGCTTGCGAAGGCCTCTGTGGAAAAGGCCCGCTGGGCCGACGTCCGCTGCCCCAAAAACGCTGGAAGGAGTTGAAGGAGAGAGTTCTTAAAAGCCTGCAAGTTCCCATCATCCGTATCCACCTACGTATCCACTCTAGTGTGTGGCTGCCATTAGGATCAAAGATTTGCCGGGCAAAACCTCTGGAAGTCCTTCAAACTCTGACCGTTGGATACCGTTGGCACTTTTTTTGGAAGTTCCATCGCTTTGATTGAAGCAGACTCATGCCTCTTCCATCCTTTTGGAAGTGTTCTTCTGGACAAGTTTCGAGAACTCCTAAAAGAAAATACATCATCCCCGACTGGTTGGATTCCTTGCCATCACGAGCTGATCTGTCAGGCTTGCGCCGTCGAAGCCTCAGCTGCCTACGACAGTTGGTGGCCGCCAACGGTTCAGCTCTAGGATCGACCGGCGCGGCTTCCCCGCTTTCACCGGGGCTTGGCCTGTTTTTCATTGGACACGCACGTTCTTCTCTGTGGTTTTTCAATCGAAGTCTCGTGTTGTCTTGCATGATAATCGATTCAAACCGCTAAAAAGAGTTGGTTTCTGACGCTGTTTTGGCGTTCTGACGCTTTTTGTGAGAGCAAAGAAATTAAGCACCTTCGCAACCACCAGGCTCAAGGAACCTGACATCAATATTTTCGGCTGGAAGACCATTTATCCAGATATTTTTTCAGCATATTGTGTAGGATCCTTCAACGTGGCAGGTGGTCTTCGCAAAACAAAGGCACCCACGGATCGCCGTGTTTCCTTTGCCTCCTTCCCATGGCGATCCTCCAGGCGGACCCGCCAAATGCTGAAGCGGTGAATGCCAAAGGCCCACGCCCCGACTCCGAGGGGCGGAGGGCGACGCCCTTGAGCTGGGGTGCGTGGCTGGCGGCGTGGCTCGTGTGGCCAGCCATTTGCGCCCTGCCGCTGTGCCTCACGTGGGGTGAGACGGCCTATCGATCAGTTTTCCCAGGCTCATGGTACGACGAGGTGCCTGTGACGCCGGTGCTGAGTGGCTACGGCGTTGCAGATCCACGGAATGTGAAACCTTTGGGCCTTATTTTGGGCCTCTCAGCCGTAGCTGTGGGGCAGTTCTTCATGCTCATCTATCACTTCCTGCGGCGTTCAAGTCTTTTGGGACGAGTTCATCGGGTACAACCTCAGGTTCGTGACTACTTTTTCTCAGAGGGCCTGAAGACTCATCTTGGTAACCCCGAAGGCTTTGGTCTCTTGGGCAGCTATCTCATTGGCACATGGATGCTGGGTTGGATGCCATCCTCATACTACTCCTTTGCGGGTGGCATCAACTGGAAGCATGTAGCAGCACAGCTTCTTTTGCAGGACCTGATTCAGTGCATCATGCATTATGGAGAGCACAAGATCTCCACTTGGGTCTACCAGAACTCTCACAAGCCGCACCATCGCTTCACCAACCCCCGGCTTTTCGATGCCTTTGATGGCAGCCTGGTGGACACGATTTGCATGATACTGGTGCCCTTGGTCATTGTTGCCCGCTTGGTGCCAGCGAATGTGTGGTCCTACATGACCTTTGGCACTCTCTATGCCAACTGGTTGGTCCTGATCCACTCCGAGTTTGTCCATCCCTGGGACGAAGTGTTCAGGAAGCTCGGATTCGGAACAGCGGCTGATCACCATGTTCATCACAGGCTCTTTGTGTACAACTACGGCCATCTCTTCATGTATTGGGATCGAGTGATGGGCACCTACAGAGATCCACGCAGCCTCGCTGGGCAGCAGTTCAGCAAGGATGTCTGATGGGGTGCTCAATTCCCGTTCCCAAAACTTTTGAATTCAAGATCTGAGCTGCAAAGGTTCCAGGTCTGACAGGTCTTCCATCGTGAAATCGATGCTTTCTCTGCCATGCAGACACCATCTAAGTTCGGAGCCGGGACAGCGGTGGCATTCGGAAAAGACGACGCCGTTTCAATCGTGGACGCCGTTTCGCTCAGTGACACCAATTCCCTGCATCTTTCATTCCGCTCCGCCGTGCGCCAGGAGACCCGCGCGAGGCGCTGGAGTCCGAGTGTCCGACACCTCCGAGTGCTCAGCTGGAATGCCCCCTGAAGGCGCTTCAGCGCTGAGTCGAGACCGACGCCCAAACGGATTTCTCGAAGAGAAGCAAAAGAAAGAGGTGGTGAGCACACGAAAAAAGGTCGACAGAGTGGGAGGTTGTAAGAACAGTTCCATTGAACCCCTTGTCATTGTCATATAGTCTATATAATATGTCTTATATATATGTCTATATTCTATTATATATATATATATGTTTATATAATCCATATAATAACTCGATCCATACTAACTTGCAAAACCATCCCTCTTTGGGTATCTTTGGGTCACCTGGCTGGACTACCCTCCACTCTCCGGGAAGGACAGGACACCCAGAGGGTCGGATGGTGGGTATGTCCAGGCCTGTGGCAGCTTCCGTCTTCGAAACCGAGTGGCCCTGCAGAGCGCTTGGCACGCGACTTGACTTTGGCAAGTGGAAGTAGATCCAACTCAAGAACTCCAGGTGAACTCCATTATCAAACTAAGAATTGAAGGTGTTATATAGTAGTTTTTTTCTTCATGATATCAAGTGGCTTGCACACAATATACCTTCCCCCGGCTTGAAGAACTCGCAACACGAAGTGATCCATGGAGGAGAAGACGTTTCGTCCGTTCAAGGCAGGCAGGGTTTCGACATCTTGGGTGAGGCACCTGGCTTGCCCGCAACTCACCCTGGTCGGTTGACCATGTCCGGTAGTCTATTCTGTTCGTTTGTTGGTGGTCAACCAAGATATCACAGGTTTTGACCCATATCATCCCATATCCATATGCTCAGAAGGCGAGTCAGTTTTTTCTGTTATCACGCAGATGACGAGCCAGCCCAGCTGTTCTTTGTCCTTTGAGATGTGGGTATTGGATGGTATTGGTCTGACTCGACTTAATTGAGACCAATCTATAGGAAGACATGTATCAGACGTCAGACACCAGCTTCAGAGTGGCTTCCAATTGGAAGACGATTCACTTTTTCTTTGTTAGGTTAGGACTGTATAGTGGCTTCACTGTACACTTATATAGAGACAAAGGATTTGAATCATGACAATGGTCGCAAACCTTGGACCTTGTTCGATGACTTGGCACTTCCGGAACAGGATGAACCATCAAAGTCGATTCACTACCCCGCCGGGTCTTTCGAAGGATCTCTGGGAATCCACCGGGGTCGCCGGCTTCCACCGAGGTCGAATCGAGCCGAGGACACCATTCCACCCGGGTGTTCTCCGGGTCGCCGAGGTCGTGGAAGTGGCCTTCTTCGTGGACATTGCATGCAAGCAGCAGGTCCTGCCCATCTCCGTCGATCGGGCCGTCCCACCGAGAGCGTCTGCTCGGGCAGAAGCTCCGCCCGGCTGGTCTGCCCGGCGGAATGGTCGCAGCGGACCGCAGTGGCCGGGCTATTGGCTCAGCATCCGAAGGTACTGCAGATCACTGATCAACAGCCAATGTATGCCAATGTACGTGCATGATAAGACAATCGAAACTCTATAGGACATGAATGGGGTGAACAAGATCAAAAACACGAGATCTAAACATATGCAATGGAGACATGCTGCAGTTGCTGCTTTTGATGACTGGGATTGACTGCGGTATAGTTATAGCAATTTTTACTCACACCCCACGTGGGCGAAACGGGAAAAAGGATCCCCCGAAACAGTCGTCGTCGCTGTGCTATGTTCGATGCATTGGGTGCCTTGCAAATCCCATGCCTGGTTGGTTCAGTTGGATGTATTTGTCCCTCATTGATGACAGACAAAGCAGACAAAGATAGACAAAGCCCATTCTCCCAGCCAGAAACCCACGGGTTCTCTCGGTCCAGCCGTTGGGAGCCTTCGTCTTCGCCGTCCAACCCGAAGCTCCACTGGACCCCTGGACCTGGGTCTCCAGGTGCACGGCTGGGCGGTGGCGTCGGGGCGCTGTGCTGGCTGCGCGTGTCAGAACGCCACGCAGCATGTGGTCCCCTGTGGGCCGGAGCGGCGGGCGACGTGATGTGACGACGGGTGGGAGGTTGGTTGGTTGGAGGAAATGGAGTAAGGTGCTTTAGTATGCCTTATATAGTTGGTTTGTGGGTTAATCGGATGGATCAGGATGGATCAGGATGGGCTAGACTGATTAGACTGGATTGGATGCATGGTGTGGGTTGATTGGTCTGCTGGATTGGATTGTGTAGTAGTGGTACAGTGATGTGGCTTTCATCGCTGGATCGATGGATGGAGTACAGCATTTGTTGTTTGTAGCATCAACAAAGCCCACCCAACTAAGGTGGTGTTCAAGGTAAGAAAGAGAAGCCCTATCAATTGCCCAGATGAAGTCATGCAGTATCATGCAGTACTTGTAGTCAATATATAGGGATATGCTTATATTGATATACTTGTTCACAAACAAAGAGAACATCTACGGCACAACCATTTGGTAACCTCGGGCACAAGCTGTATAGGCTCCGTGACTATGGGGTGCAAGCCTCGCAGGAGCTGGCCATCGATGGCTACTGGGACCCCACACGGCTGCAAGCCTCGCAGTGGATCTCACAATGCGCCCCATGGCGAGTTCGGACGTTGCTTCGTGGATCTCTCTGAAGCGGGAGGGTCTCCAGCGGCCGGGCGGGCGGCTCTTTGGGACGGTTTCGTCGACTTGTGAGGTGAGGTCAGACCTCATCCTCGCTTTGATGCCATCCTCATCTGTGTGTGGCAAGTGTTCCATCGTTCGTCCTCCTCGACCTGACGTCGATTTCAGGTCTCTGGCACTCCCGCATGTGCTCCCGGCAAAGCGTGGATCGGCCTGCAGGCGAGGGAGCTTCATCCCCCCAAATGCGGTCGGAACTCCGAATTCATGCAACGACTCCAGGGGTTCAACCAAGATCTCAGCAAATGATTGTGAGAATAGACCCACTTGGAAACTAGTGTGGACTCCGGATTAATAACCCCCCCATAGTTTCGGATGTTTTTCTATCCAAATGGTTGGTGGGTAATCAAGATCCTACATGGTATTCATTGGAGGATCTTTCCGGAAAGAACTCTTTGGTCAATCATTTTTCCATGTTCCATGTTCCATGGCAGATCAGCACTACAAAAAGGAACCAGGAGCCCTTGGAACCGGTCGATGCTTTAGATGCACAGCGAACTCCTGAACGTTCCTCCTGAACGTTCGTGGTTTGTCTGGATGGCCTTTGGATCCCCTGGTGGCAAACCAACGAACTCATCGCTTGGTGTCTATGTTTCTTCCTGTTGGATGGGTCTAAACGCATCAGTTTACCAAAGACATCCAACCGACACACGGTCTCTGGTGCTGCGTCTAATCCGACGCGGCAGGTCCAGGCCACCAGCGAGGTGCGCTGCGTCCACCTGCTGCAGTCCGCCGATCCGGCCTACATGGCCCGCGAGGCGCGCGCGTGCGTGAACGCGGGCGGTGTGCAGCGGGGCGGCCGAAGCGAAAGCCGTGGAAGCACCGCGTCTCGAAAGAATCCAAAGCTTTGGAGGCAAATGTTAAAGGAACAGCTTTGAGAATGCATAGTGTTAGTTGGTGGTGGCTGGGGTCCTGTTCTTCAGTGGTTTTACCGATGATAGCCGTTGCATTGCCCTGACAAGAAGGCGATCTTGCACCAAGGAGTCTACAAATTGTTATAATATAGTCTTTTGCTTGTTTATAGTATACACTACTACTGGAATTTGCTGAACCATGGATGTTTGTTCACTCCCATTTGTGACTCAGGTCTGGCGAAGGGGAGAAAACAACTATATAAACAGAAGTCTTTTTCGCCAGAAACGGGCGTCAGCAGCCAGACGCAATTCCTTCGACCCGGGCGTGGCAAGCCAGGTCGCCTTGGAGGTCATCGATGAGGAGCGAGGAGTCTGGGAAGTCCTGGCGGAGCATCTTCGCAGAAGAGCGAGGTCTGGAGCTCTTTGGATCTCCCGTGTTTTTATGATGAAACGCAGGATTTTGGTCAATTCCTTTGATCGGCCAAGCATGATTCTCTTGGTATCTTAAAAGCATGAGGATCAACGAACAATATGCCAATATTCTATGTTCCATCATATGGAGAGGAGAGTGAACACCTGGTCCACCATGTAGCAAACAACCTTCTCCTGGTGCATCCCTCCAATTCTGGATGAAGAACATTTCATTGCTTCATAGAGGGCTCCTTCGATTCTATCGCCCTGTCTCAGGTATGCCAACTTGCAGGGAGCTGTGATCCTCAATGATGGCAACTACTCCTGGGACGTGCTGTCCGTGCCACAGGCCCGGGAAGCACTGATGCTTCAACTTCAGATGCAACCTGGAAGGAACATTCGTCAATGGGACTTGAGTGGATTTGCTCGGTTCCGTTCGTCCTTATTGTATAAGCAGAGGTCATTGTGGGCTGAAATTTCGCTTACTTTGGCCACAGACGTGCCTTCTTAGGCACCAGTTCTTTATTTTCCTCACAGGTCAATGGTGTCTTGGATGGTCTTGGACAAGAATCGGATTGCCCAGTCTCCGATGGTTGGACAGGGAGTCCTTCACCGATTCGAAGCCCCGTATCAGAAACTCGCTCCGATTCAGTGGCCACCCGACTGTATCATGAGCCTCACGAGGCCACAAAACGGGGCTACAACCGGTACTGGTAGCTCCGATTCACCCGCTCCGTTTTCCGAAGCCGCCGTTGACGTCGTATCATGAGGTCCAAGTCCCCACGTTGTTCCAATGGCCGTGACTGGCCTGGCGTCTCGTGCGAAGGCCTGTTCCTCTGCGGTGGATTGCAATGGAAACGGTGCCCCACGGGGTCTCCCCGGCAGCTGCGCCTGCGATTGTCTCGCAGCTCAGGGTCCGTCCGCCGAAGTGGGGGTCGGAACTATGAACGATTCAATTCATGTGAACTGTAGGAGAATTTCAGAGGGCTTAAAGCTGGCTTTTCGCTTGAAACATGCTTATCCATCATGTTGTTCTGTCACGGGGGGAAGATGGAGCAAAGCATGCGCTCTTTGCCAAAGAGTGGACTCCAAGTCCGGAGGACAATTAACACATCCAAAGGTGTTGTTCTTGCCGGAGTCTCTGACTGGTGCGAGCCGTAGCGTTTGAGGATGTTTGAGGGAATTCCTCCCGTCCAGTCCAATGAATTCCTCATTTGCCTCTGTCCCTCATTTTGCTTCGTGTTTCGTCACGAAGCCCGAGGGCTTCGCACCAAGTCTTCAGGTTATGAGGGCTTCGCTGGGCTTAGCTGCAACACCTGCGCTCCGGGCTTTCTGCAGCATCTCGGAACCAAGCCGAGAACGGAGAACACCCGAGAACGGCGACAGCATGGAGCGCACCGTCGATCTCGGAGAAACCTGGACGTGAGGGGAAACGGGAAACGCCCTACCTTTTTGTGCGCCATCCGGAACCTTTTGCAGATGATTTTTGCGGGGTTATTCCCTCATTTATACACATTTCATACATGTTCAATCCACTTTTCAGGTTTGCATGGCAGAAGATTTCCATCTTTTGGAGACGACCATGCGTGATCTCGCATGGCTTCACTGCTTTTGCTCCACTTGTTTTCTCAGGTACCCCGACTGTGGGCGGATGCCATCAAGCAGGATCTGGCGTCTTGTAGGCCTTCAGCAGCAGACCTGGCATGTGCAGGAGTTAATTAATTAGTGGAACTCCTTGTGACTTGTGAGTGTGTGTGTGTGTTTTTGTCGAGGTTAGATATGGTTTCATGTCATTTCACTGGATTCTTCGTCATAGTTCGTGGGTTGGAGTTCAATCATACGATACACCGAATCCCAAAGCATCGCATTTGATGCGGTTTTGGGTCGTTTGGGCGGTCGCCGAATCTGACAACCCGTCGTGCCAATACAGGTTCTGCCTGATGCTTTTTGTTAATTTCTTACTCACCTCCTGACTTCTCGATCAATCATAATCAATCTAATAGACTAATCCGGTCCACCTAATAAAAAACACGAGGGCCCCCCCCCTAATAAGGAAACCTCGGTCGCATTTTTTTAAATAGGGGGTCCCTGAAATCGGGGGGCCCAAAATAGGGTCACCTGGGAAGAGCTTCAAAACCAAAAAGTAAATCAGTAAAATTTTATATAAAATCCATTATTAAACTCGTATCAAAAATGCAAAAAAGCTCCAGATCGAAGGGTCTTCCTTTTCCCCTACAAAAACCTTCATTAGAATAGTGATTCTTCAGTAGACTAACAGCTAAAGCTTTCGAAAGGTGATGTCGCTGTGCCATGCGGTGTTGCATGACCTCGGTCAAGTGCGTTTGCGTGAGTCCGTGCCATTGGGGGAAGGAAAGCCTGCTGGTGTAAGCGCGGCGTGTCATGGTGGATAGGCAGGGTGGACAGAGGTGGGCAGTTACGGTTGTTTTTGGAACCCAATAAAAAAAACTCCTCCAAAGCCGGCAATGTTGGTAGTTTAGTAGCGGCTTGAAAGGGCGGTTTTTTTAAAAACATATATAAACCGTATTTAGGGGTTTCCGACATGACTTTTTTCTAATAGGGGTCCGTTTTTTAATAGGTACTCGGGATTAGCTTATCATCACTTATATAATTTAAGCCAATCTCATTTTAACTTTTCTTCACCCCAGGAGGTGAGTCTCTTTCAAGATCTCCAATGCCAAAGCGAAGTGCCCCTGAGATCGGCTTCTCAGTACCTCTCCATGGACGGTTCGACCTCCCAACGGGCCTTCGATGGTCAGCTGGACAGCACTTGGATCGGCAACGCGGCGTTGGACGAAGGGACGGGGCCATGGCTGGGCGTCGTGTTGCAGCACCCGGTGGATGTGGCCTGTGTGAAGGTGCTGCAGGGCGACGGGCGTTTTGGGGCTGAGGAGATCGCGTTGGAGCTGTGGGTGGGTAATTGGAGCTATGAATTGGACTGGAAGGATGACAATGCGAGCAATGAGAGCAATAAGAGCAATGAGACTGGTATCGATGAGGCTACTCTTCCGCATGAGAACAGCAGTGAGAACAGAAGTGAGGGCCAATGGTGGCGTGTTCGCACATGGCCCGACCTTAGCAAGCGGAGCAGACCAGCACTCTTGCAGCTCACTTGTGATGTGGGTCTACCAGCTGCCATTCATGTACTGCATGATTGTGGCAACAACAAACAGCCCTGGCAACAGTGCATGGCCTGGTGTGAACCAGGATTTTCAGGACCTGAAACCTCCTTCCTTTGCCTTGAAGACTACAGCTTTCGCGGGATTACGCCGGCCTGCGTCCCGAACGAGTGCCGCTTGGGCATTCCGACAAAGGCTCGGATGGGCGTGAAAGGAAGGTCCGAAGCAAATTCAGTGGGATGGCTCCGTTTCTGAGACTTCAACATTCTTTGGGCACATTTTTGGTCACGACTTTTTTCAAGAAGCGGTTGGTCACACGGTCAACTTGTTCGATGAGGAAGGAAACAGGAGTTGCTTGCGGGAACCCTGAAGCCACTCTAGGAAAACCATTGTCGACCTATTTTGTGATATGACCAGCGCGTCCAGTGGCTAAGGCTAGGCTCCTTCCAGCAGTTGAATTCCCCATGATTGGTCATTTGTGGATCGAATCTAGATACAGAATCAGATAACCAACAAACTGGGCTGGGCCATTCGCGGAGGTGGTACACCCCAGGGCTTTCCAAGACAGTTCTATAGTTTCTAGTTTGTCTCTCTTTGTGGATACAACCCAAAAACAAGAACACTGCTGCAGCAAGCACAACACACAGCAGCACCCGAGCAAAAAAACAGCTTACCGCTTTGACCGGAGAGTCCAGGGTCCAGGTCTCGAGCGCTCCTAGTTAGGCCCAGACCTGGAAGAGACCTGGAACCCTGGGCAGAGAGGACTTTTTTTCCGGAATCCTCAGGGACGTGATTTTCCACGTCTGAACTCCTGGACGTGTGTCCCGTCTGAAGCTCCCCTTCAGGTGGGCTTGATCATCGCCGATGGCTGTGCTCAGCTCCGCACGGGCGAGACCTGCACCGCCTTCTGCGGCCAAGGGTTGAGTGGCGAACCCTTGGAATACGAGTGCAGTGCGGATGGATATCTCAGGGAGTCCAAATCTGGCCAGGCCGGGCCGCACCTGATGGAACGAGGCTACGGACCTTGGGTGGCACCGGCACCCTCGCGTCAACGCCGAGTCCCTTTTTGCGGAAGGGGTCTCCCCGAATTCAGCGGTCTCCACACGAATTCACCGTTCTGCCGAAGTGGGTGGTGATGGACCCCCAAAGACGGAACTCGCCCTTCTTCGGGCCTCCGGGCAACTGTCTTTTTTCAGCTGTTTGGAGTGAATGGATACAACACATGCGGTGTTTTTGGGTGCACCAAAGTGCCGATTTCACCTATTTGCCTCGAGAGAGCGAGCGTAAGACATGGTACGATAAAGAGAGATCGCTTTAGGCATCCAAAATGGATCAAACCAATTCATAGTGTTGGTGATGTGTCTGTTTTTGTGGGTGGTTTGGCTTTCTTCATCACAAGTCCAATCTCAACGTCCAGGTTGGTGTGGTGCCCTCCTGCGCCTCCTCCTTTACACCGGTGGAAGCCCTCGGCAGAGCTGGCCGCACGGCGAGTGTGGGGCTGAAGTTCACGGTTGCATGGCTTGCGCAGTGGCTTGCGCTGTTGGTGTCGCTTGGCGCAAGTCTTGGAGGTTTGATGTTTAAAACTAATAGCATCTGAATGGCTGCGCGGAAAGACGTAGAGTTGGAGCTCGAGTGCATTCTATATATATAGTGCCATTTGGCACTTTTCACAATTGCTGCGAGTTATTGCGTGTTTTGCAGCAAAGGGCGGGTGTGTGCAAGGCGAGAGAAAGAGGTGTCACCAGAACTCACTTGACCAGGGGAGAATTGCTTTTGGTTGAAGTTGGTGTATTTGAAACAGACTTCTTTTTCATGATTCATTCCTAAGCGGGAGCTAGTTGGGTGGTGGTTGGCTGGTTGTTTTGGGGAAGTCCCATCGAGGACGGGAGACAGCACCAACGAAGCAGATTGACACTCAAATTCCACATGTTCGTTCCGCAACATTCCTTGCGGCACTCTCTGAGATTCATACCTGATCTCCAACCCTGTATAAAGACCCCTTCTTGTTTGAGTAGTTTTGATTTTTGAGAGCTTCGCTCCATGACGAGTCATCCCATGAACGTTCTTAGATGATCTTGTCTGAACTGGAAATTAAGATCTACTGATCTATCTGGTGAAGAATGTGGCAATTTGGAGATCAGACCCTTCGTCTACTACAAATCTCAAGCTGAGATTCTTACAGCTTCTTTTTTAGTGCCTAGGACTTGACGCACCGACTGGGCCAAACGGCAGCGACTTGCTGAAGCGACTGACTCCATGAAGCTCGTGGACTCGGACTCCACACCTGGAGGACGTGGTGCGTCAAAAAAGCTCCGCGTTGGAGACAGGACGGGAAGAACGGCCGAACGGCCTCGGTAAAAACCTATGTTGGCCCTCATGTTGGCCTGTTTCTTTGGTGTCAGGATGCTTTGAACGATGCATGGGGTTTGAAAACCCAGAGTTCTTGGCCGGAGATGGTTCCAGAATCGGAGGATGTATGGGTCAATTTGGTAGGCGACAGGTCGACCCAATCCATCCCCACGGTTGTTCCTCACTCAACTGGGACACACAACTAGTTGGGTTTCACCACCGTTGTTGTGCTGTCATGTCATCTCCCAGGAGCGCATGCACGACCGAGTGCACGATCGAGGGAACAGAAGACCTTCAAATCCGCGGCCGGTGGCTAAGCAAACAGAGACAAGCAGGAGATCAAGCTAGACTGGTGCTCGCAGTTTGTGGAACATGTTGGACACATAAAGTGAAACGCACACCGTGTCGACTCCATCCGCGACACGTAGATCGCGATCTGCGGCACGTTCGCGACACGCTCGCATCCAAGGCGACCCGTGTCGGTGGCCATGGAGAACGGCGGAGAACGGCCGGGTTCGGGCCCGATGGAAGGGGGAGTTCTTTCGATGTTCAACGACTCCGAGCCAAATGGAAGGTGTTTTGGGGAAACACATCAGAATCCTTTAGATTGGGAAAACATATTAGACCAACGTTAAGACAGAACATGGAGAGCCATTGTGCCTTCGATGAGTCCCCAGTCTGTGTGCCTTCGATGCGTGGTTTGGGACCGATCACCAAGGCGGACCATTCCGACCGATCGACGAGGAGACATATGCAGAGCTCCCGTGGCTCGGCATGTGAAGAGAGGACTTGTTTGTTGTTGATGTGGCTCCATGTAACTTGGGTTGGCCTCTTCATATTCTCCACGAATCCACGTCCGACAAGGAACGTTGTGATCCTCCAGGTTGTGAGGCTCGAGTCCGGCAGACAGGCAAATCAAGCCGGCAAGTAGGCAGGTTGTAAGCATCCCCCAAGCCGGCAAGCATCATGCCAACTCTATCCATCTTCTCTGCTATGCAAACTCTTCTCCGCGCAGGCCAAGCTGCAACATCTTTCTGGGATCACAACCCTGACCAGTCTATCATTTGACGAATCAGACGAGGTATCGATGGACTTTGTAGGTATCCTTTTTTTCCCAACATCCAGTCTGGTGACATGTGAAAAGAGATCCAATTGCCCAGCAAAGTCCATTGATATCGCTGAGAACAGTTCACTTTGCATTGAGGCTTGCATACTGTGTTGGTTTTTAAGGTGCTTGAGGCGAAGACACAGAAGGACGGAACCTCCGAGGAAGACATGAATATCATATAGAAGATCATTCACACTTCCGTGACACCATCGAAGCTGCAGATGGGCACGGAAGTTTGAAGAAGTTCTTTTAATAGCCCCAGGGCTCTGCTTCTTCATCCACTTGGGAATGGCTCCAAGCCTGGAGCCCGACCGCTCCACCATGTAGCGAAAGACCTGTCGTTGGTAGGTCAACTGGTCGGTCTCCCGGGTAGGTAAATGCATAGCAAGGCCATCCAACCAGGAGAACGGTGTTTTTTTGTTTGACCCTGGGACTGACTCGAATGAGCCTCAATGACCAGAGGCTGGGACGAACTCGAAACCGATCAGTTCCTTCAGCGATGTTTGAAGATGTTTTGCCAGCAAATGTTGATGAAGATCCATGGTTTTTGCTGCTTCTCAAGCACATTTAGTGTGTGTATCATTTTTTAATGTGTCCATTGGCCATTGAATAAGCACCATTCCAACGCTTGGAACTATTCACAAAAAATGACCAAGCTACCTTGTATCCAGCGCTCTTTTTAGAATAAAGGGCGGTTTTAGTCTTTTTTTTCTAGAGCAGTATTGGTTACGTTGTTTATTTTGGTGCTGGATATATAAAACAAAAGCTATACCTGACCTGTAAGGCAAGGAAGAAAGAGCATGATTCATCACGTAAGGCAAGCTACGCTGAGACAGTCCATCAACTGCAACACGCTGATGACACCGTGTTTTGCCATGGTTTGCTTTCGTCTTTTTCGACCGTAACTCCTAGAAAGTGGACCACTAGCTGGGCGGGATAGAGCCTCAGGATTTGGTCGTTTCAAGTCGTTTCCATTGCTTTCAGAATTCTGACTGTCAGTGCAACGAAGTAGGGTGGCTGAGAGTGTGGCTGACCCCCTCTATTTCACTGCATCTCTTCCACATCGAAGGCTCGCTCCACTGAATCTCGGAATCGACTGAAGCCACGACCATGAACGATTCATGTGAAGTCCGACCTCATCACATGACCCACATGGTTGACAGGATGAATATAAGGATGAACCTTCCTGTGGGGCAATACTGCAGGTCCAAAAATGCGAAAAGAAGACTGAGCATCTCCGCGTGGTCCTCAGTGAGATGGAGGGGGTGGAGAATAAGAACCAGGCTTTTCTTCGGGCAATGGTTATTTGAGAATGAGAGATCGCTCTCAGATGGGTTTTGAGAAACTCAGAATCAAGAATCTTATGAATCCTCCAGTCCACTTGATGCCTTTTGTTGATCCCTTCAAACAGCTTCTTTGCACCTTGCTAAAATGATAATAGGGAGAGCCTGGGAGAGCCCCACTTCGACCCTATAAAATGCAAACACCCATTAAATAGCTTCAGGGGAAAAAAAAACAGGAACGATGTACACCCCACAGACTTGTTGACATCAATTTCCAAGCCGTCTTCTCACTCAATTTTCGTCACCCCTGCCGAGCCTTTGGAGATGAAGCGGAGACAGCTCTGACCGCTTCGAACTCGCCGATCCAGCTCGAGGAACCCGGCGAGAACACGAGCGGGCGTGCCTATCCATGGGGCGTGCCCGTTCGCAGAGTGAATATTCCCCTTCGAAGGCTAAGTGGGTGATGCGACAATGTGCCGAGAACGATCACCATGAGTGTCCTTGTGGAGCAGGACCCATTGCTCTTTGGAATGATAGCAGCCCCCACAGTTGGGGGTCGAAGTCAAATCTAACCATGTCTTCTAAATGTGCATGGGAAACCCATTCGATTGGAATTGACCCTTCATCATAAAACACATAAATACACCTGAAGGTGCAGTCTCTGAGCCATGACTTAACGCCGCGCAGCTGCGCAGCCGATGGCCAAGCGCCCAAGGCTGCTGTCACATGGCTGGTGTGGTGATGCATACGAAACGGCAAGCTCTGCAGTGAATTTCTTCAAGTTGGCTTGCATGAGATTTGTTAGACATGAGTAGCCAATTGTAGCCATAGTTTACACCAGTTGAGTTGAGATTTAAGGGGACTTGAATGAACTTCTGAATGGATTTGTTTTGTTTCCGAATGCCCTGGAAGAGTGCTTCATGTGTTGTGTTGGCTGTCTCCTCATGAGGCTTTGGCTGAGTTTGGCCGGCATTTCGGCCTTTGAGCTTCAACCTCAGTGGTCTCAGTGGTCTCAGTGGTCTCCGGGTTGTGAAGAAGAAAGTCTAGTCTCAGAGTCCGGTTCTAACATTTTGATCAAAAGTCAACCATCATGACTATATAACTCCATATATAACTCATGCATGCTATATAACTCCATATAACTCATGCGTTGCATTGTTCTCACTCCAGCTGCTTCTCAGGAGATGTGGCGATGCCAACAACAACTGCTACAAGTGGTCCTTGGAGGGGCGATGCACGAACTCCTCAGAGGCCGGACTCGGACGAGAAGAACTGGGGACTCCTGGGGACTCAGTCTCCGACTCTGGGCGGTTTTCCAGGAAAGGAGAAAGAAAGCACCGAAAAGCTTGAAAGCTTGTTTGGCGGTGGACACATCATGGAACGTCTAAACACCTTAGCGATGGTCTTCAACCTAGCTTCTTGCTCCTAGTAGCGATGCCCTTGGCTACTAGCGAGGGCCTTCAACTGGGAAAGATGCCCGGAGGGGTCCCTAATTTGTGAGGGGTCCAACCGGGGGTGACGCCCCTGCATCGGTCTGAATCGAGAAGAGGTCGGGTCTGACACTTGTATGACACCAGTTTTACTGAGCGATTCCTGGTCAAAACGATGTAGCCTTACCAAAGGTCGCCACTTGGCCAATGTCGCACGTTCTTTGGGCACTGCAGCACCTAGTCTTCTTTGTTCCATTTGTCAGCACGGGAGTCGAATGTGAACTCCACTAAGGACTCTGTTCGGGCTTACTGCCCCTTCAGCTGCGGAGTTTGCATGCCACACTCCTGCAGCGCGGAGAAAGCGGATGAGGCTTGGTCCACTTCAGCCATCTCAGCGTTTGGTCTGTGTCTGTTTTATGCTTATTTGTGGACAGCAGCAGCTGAGTAGCCGTTGAAACACACACATATATTAAAAATATGTGGTGAAGTTCTTTTCACCAGGCCACAGGGTTTGCTTGACATCCGGTCGCAGTTCTTTTTGTGCTTTGCTCGGCAAACAGTCTGTGGGCATCACCACATCTCTGAATCCGGACGCCAGTCACTGTACGATGGCCCCTGACACGACAAAACTACCAAACAATATGAGATATGTATATATCGATATATATATATATTACGTATATAGATCTGAGATGATCTGAGCACTCATATTCCGAGATGAAGACCAAGAGTGAGTCCATCTTTGGAGGATTTGCAACCAATAAGAGGGACCCTTCAAGAGATCCAAGGCTTCCATCTTGGGTTCAGCTCCCTGTCGTGCCATTCGATCAGGACTTTTGCAATGCGGACCTCGAGAGTCATGATGAGGACTGCTGATTGGTGACTGCTTGGATCATGAAACATGTCACCAGAGGGATACTGCAAAACGAGTCCAGTCGATTTACCGGAAGTTTTGGTCATGAACATTTCCATTGGCCCCAAAGATCTTGACAGTCGGATCAGGCCATGTCAGCCCTACAAGCTCTGTAGTCCTTTCTCCCATCAAGCACCGCTGTATATCGCGTACAGACTCTTGGCATTTTCTCTTGGCACCGTTTCACAGGAGCACGGTGGGATGCACTGTTCCCCGGCCAGAAAGAAGTGCATGTTGCACATGAAGTCGCTGTGGGGTGACCTGACACCGGTGAGGTTCCTTTTGGCACCACCTGCCGACACGTGGTCGAATCGATGTCTATTTCCTGCACGAGGAGGAAGTGCTCGTCGGCCTTGTTCTCAGTTTTCAGAGTGGCGAACGGATGGCAGGATCGAAAAGGAAGGTTCGAAGCAAGGAAGCTCGAAGCCCGGAAGAGATGCTGCCAAGTCTCACTTGGCTTTGTGGCCCCCCTTTTGACCAGATGCAATCCGCACAAAATCGACACAAAACACAGACACCATGACACCCTCACCATCAAACACTCTAACTATCCCTAACTCCGGTCGCAGCAATCGCTCTGTGTCCCACACCTGAGGGAGTCTTGAGCCGAACTCGGTCTTTGGCGTGAAGACCTACGAAGATCACGTCTTCCGCCTCCGCGACGCAGGACACGGGTCGACACGGGTCGACACGTGTCGACAGGTGAAGCGAGCTGACGATCTCCTGTTGACCTTGTAGGACAAAAGAAGATGAAAAGAACAGCACTGATTCATATATAATTGGATGTACAATGGTATGATGTTGGAGTGGGTTGTTAGTTGGCTTTGCCGCAGGGCTTTTGGGAGAAGAGATGCTTTGGGTTTCGTGCTTCTGGTCTAGACTTGCGACAGGAAATGGACACGGACCAGAAGGCCGTAAAACAAAGGAGACCTCAATCACCGGGGCGCGAAATGATACCTAGAGCCTGAGACCGCATATCGGAGAATTCACAGGTATACGGTATCCTACAACAGTGAACTAGCAGCTTAGCCCCTGGTTGAACTGGGCACTAGACCCTTGATCAAACCAGCTGAAGGACTTTTCCTCTTTCTAAGCTATTTCTTCAGAGTCTTCGTTGGTGTAGCTATCCTCCTAGAGTTCTGGCGCGTGCGCAGCCTGCGCAGCGTGCGCAGCGAGGAAGTCAAGACCTTCTGGCTACGGTGCGGATGTTCCGAACGCGTATCGTCCTGATCATCGATGAAGACTTCATGGAGTCGCTCAAGGATTGTGCGCCTTGCTTGAGACATGGTTTGGCAGTGATGATCCAACACTCTTGGCTTAAAAGACATGTTGCTAAATAAGAATCTCAACAAATCAGTTCCTTTCTTTTCTTTCCAAGGATTTGCCTTTGACATGGTAAAGAGAAGAACTGATTTCTTGGCATTTGTCGGCATGCTTCACGAAAAGCGGTCTTTGTTTTCTTGAGCCAAACACGCAGGCGTTTCGGCCTGTGGTCTTGTGTACCTAGTTGTACACTTCTCGTTTTGTGCGTCCTGTTTCCAGATCCGCACTCCCCCCGTCCTTCTTAGGACGAAAGCTTCAGATGTTGTCACATCTGGCGTGATCCATTTCGGATCAAGAACAAAGAAAATCCCACCCAGCTGCCCGGTCCAGGCAGCTCAGCTCTGCGCCAATCGCTGTCGATGGCCACACGTCGATGCCATTCGGTGCCTTTCCACGCCACCGTGATCCTCATGAACTCGAGGTTGTCGATCTCCTCAGGGCAGCTGCGGTGCTCGGGATGAAATCGTTGCACACGAGCACTTCCATGGTAGCGAACTAGCCACCTGCAGCCATCCATAGTCAGGTGATCCCACCTGTCACTTTTGAGCGTTGGTTTGTAGAACAACGCTTCTTCTTCCAGGAGGTCCTGCACGTGGTTCAAGATCTCAGGCGTCCAAAATACCGAGCTCTGGAACTCCAGCTGATCATCCATCATGCCCCCAACCGGCATCAAAAGCTGCGCCGGTGGAGCCTTCCCAGGCCTGTTCCACGGCCTGTCAGTTGCCGGCTGCCGCATTCGCTCCAGCGTAGGAGGTCCCGTCGAGCTCGAACTCCTCGCCGCCGCGGCCGACTTAGAAACCCCTTGGAGAGTGGTTCCCGCAGCCTTTGAAGTGTGCCCCATGGCAGTCCCCATCGCCTTTGAAGATGCCATCGCCGCCTGCCCTCGCTCAGCCGCTTCACTCGGCCTTGAAGAACCACTCGATGTAGCCCCCCCATAGCCACGCGGTTGAAATGGTACAGGAGGTTGTTTAGGAGGGGGCACCGGAAGCCGCTTTGCAGGTGGCGGAGACTTCACCACCAGCCGCTGGGTCTCCATGTCCACCTCTTCAGGCCGCAACATCCGGATGCCCTCACTGGTGACCACCATCGGCGGTCTGGTCATGTCGTAGGTGCCCTCGTCCATAGCCTCTTGCGTCACCCTGCTGTTCGTGTAGTGCACCTCTTCCGGCTGCCCTGCATCTCCTCCAAGCCATTCGCGTCCACCTCGGAAGACAGCAGGCAGCCTCATCTGGATGCGCCCCCACACGCCATGGCTCGCGTTCGCCGCCTCCACCTCAAACACAGTGGAGTTGGGAGCCTCTAGGCTACGGTCTAAACCCCTCAGGGCCTTCAGTTTCCGAGACACGTTCCCCTGGAGGTGGCGTGCGGCCCGACGCCGATGAGTTTCTGGCCTCTTGAACATTTCTTATGTTTTCTTGACTGGTCCGTTGTTCCGACCCCTGTTGGTCTTGTTCTTCCCTTGCCGGCGAAGGCCGCAGGGCACACAAACGAGGTTGCAACCGGGTGGAGTGTTCAGTAGATCTCAATTCTTGTTGAATTTCCCTATCTGACATGGTTGAACACTCCCCCGGATCTTGGTCCCTCGTCCAAAAACCCTTGCTAAAACCCCGGCTCACTTCATAGGCCAGCCCAATCGCAAGCGCCGCCGCCACCACCGCCTTTGCAGTGTAGGAAGGCCAGGTCATAGCCGCGCACCCAGCCAAACATGCAGCAAGCTTCGCCACCCGCACCATGGATTCCACCGCGTCCTGCGAACCCTCCCCATCATCCGCAGCCACCCCACCCAGGTTCTCGACCTTCAGGAGGTTGGTGAACGCCCGGAAGCGGTCCCAGGAAGCTCGAACCGTGATGCTCTTGGTCAGGTAGTCGGCGATTAGCTGCGTGCCCGCCATGTGGAAGATCTTCCATCGCCCCTGTTGAGCTCGTTCTTGAAGGACGTTAGCTCGGAGTCGAAGGTGTCTGGTACGCCATGGACCATCCGGATTGCGCACGATGGAGATGGCAGCCTGACTGTCGCCATAAGTGACGATCTCCGGCGTCTCTCCATGCACCTCCGTCCACAGCGCCTGCAGCGAATCCCCCATAGTTAAGGCCTCCACGTAGGAGTACAGCTCCGCTTCCGCCGTTGACAATGCCAGACACGATTGCCTGGAAGTTTCCCACTGCACAGTGGCGCCCGCAATCATCGCCACGATGCCTTGCACACTTTTCTCCCCTTGCGGGGCATACGAAATGTCACTGAAGAGCTCCACCAACGATGTAGAGCCCTCCAGAGGAAGATCACCATGAGGTCCACGATCACCAGGCCCACAGGGAACATAGTGCAGGAAGTAGTCCATCGTGCCATTCAAGTACTCCAGAACATGTTGTCCCACCCGAAGCACCCATCTCGGCCGTTTTGTGACCTCTTTTCCCATAGCGCTGATGGCATAGGACAGGTCAGGCCGACTGCGAATGGCCACCCACAGGATCTCCCCCCACGATGCCCTGCGCCTTCTTGATCTCCTCCGCCGTCACCCCTTCTTCCACCTCTGGAGGAGGTACAGCGTCCTTTGGCAGCGGGACCGTCTTCTTGTCCACGATGTTGTGCCTCTGCAGCAACTCACCCAGGTAGGAGGGTTGACCTAACAACAAACCTCCTTCATGGCTTTTGAGCTCATACCCACAAAACCTCACCCAACCCTGGTCATCCACCGTCTCGGGCGTGGACGTTTTCCACCGGGACTGAATGCACTTGAGAAGACCAGGTCGCGCCACTGCATCTCCCATCACGAGGAGGTCGTCGACGTACACCAAGAGAAGGCCTCTAACCACCTGTGTCTCCTTCTCCACAATGCGCCACAAGTTGCGCTCCTTGGTCTGGGTCAGGTGGTAGGCAACGTTGTTGTCCTCCCACGCCAACTCCTCCAGGACCTGATCCCTATAGATCGCCCAATACGATGGACTCGTATTGAACCCGTAGAGTGCTTTTCGGATGAGCCAGACCTCATCCGGTTCACAGACTCCCAGGTCCACCATCACCTTCGGCGGCTGAACTGCCACGGGCTTGCCACCTGGTTGATGTGGTCGAGGAGCTTGCAGAAACGCGGACTTCACGTCCAACGAGGTGATCTCCCAACGACGTTGACTGGCCTCCAACAGCGATGCCCGAATGAGCACCCCATCCGCCCCACTTGCGTAGGAGCCACCAGGCAAACCTCCAGGAGGTGGATCAGCTTGCTCCGAAGCCAGGTTGCCACAGATCACCGCCCTCGATCTCTTAGCCCCTGTGCCCCCTTTCTTGCAACAGACCATCTTCCCCGGAACCAGCTCCGTGCCCGGCGCCAACAATTGCCTCTTCGTGGGGACCACCGCCTCAGTCTCCTTGACCAGCACGTCGTACTCATACTGGAACGAAGGCCTCCATGCGTCCGCATTCTCCCGCACCTCCGAGAGCGGGACGGTCATGGTCTGCAGGACCTGTTCACCTTCTCCACCTTGTTGACCTTGAGCTTGAAGAGCACATAGTCGGATCTGCAGGGCCTTTGCCACCCGACTCAACTCCATCAACTGGCCTTCAACTTCATCGCGCCAGCCCAGAAGGTGATTCACCAACTCACCCTGCACCGCCCCCTGCTCCTCCGTGGTCGGCGCTTGGTTGATGCGCCCCAAAAGCTGCTCTTGTAGACACCCCTGTTGGTCACCCCAGGAGTCCTCTAGCTCTTGCACCGACAACCACCTCGCCCCTTGGTAATGCGGCTCAATGTCAACAGCGGCCAATGCTCCTTCGTCCCCAGTCTCAACCCTCAACGTCCGCACACCTTTGGATGATGACGATGTAGTCGAGATAGGAATGGCCAGAGGGTCGTCTCTCCATATCACAGCTCCCCCGGGCCTCGCGTCTCCAGCTCCCGCGGTCTCACCAGCAACTCCCCCAGGACCTGCTGTGCCCGAAGCTGTGCCCAAAGCTGTTGTTGAAGAAGGAGAAGAAGTCCCCCCCGCTGTTGGCATAGTCGCACCTTGTTGTCCTCCAGCTTGAGGAAGGCGTGGTTGCCCATCCAATGGTTGTTTCCCCCACATGCGATGGTATGGTTGGCCTGGTCGTGGCTCCTCCTCCAACTGTAGGCGAACTTGTGCTTGTTGATCTTCAAGTTCCCGACGTAGATCCTCCGCCTCAGTGTTCGGTTGTACAGCTTCTCGAACATGAAGGATCTTGCCATCCTCGGCCTGCACCACCCATCCATCGTTCATCATGGGGCTTGGACACATCAATCTGCCCTTCACAAATGGTGCCATTAGTCCCCCCTCCTTATGCCACTTCTTCGCCTTCACATACACAGTGGCATAGAATGGCAGCATAGGCAATGTGGGAACTCCAAGCTCCTCCAACTGGCGTCTTCGCCTCTCCTCCACCGCGTACCTCATCGCCGATGGCCAGAGTTGACCTGTACATTCATGTTGCGCCAGTAGTAGCCTCGCGCGCCTTTTGACTTGGTTCACCTCAGCCTCTACATGGCCGTTGGCAGCAGGGTCATCTCCTCCAGTGGATGTTTGTACAATCCCCCATCGACTGCACCATGCCTCCACCTGTTTGCTGATGAGCTCCTTCGCCCTGTCGGTGTGCAAGCGGTTCACCGCCACCCCCATCACCTTATACTTGGTGATCAACTTCTGCAAGCCGACAATCACCTCAGCCTTGGCCCGGGATTCCAGCACCTCCATACAGGTCACGTGCTTCAGAGGAACTCCACGTTGACCCTTTTGGAGCTCCGCCTCAAAGTCATAGTCATGGGCTGGATCCATGATGTCCTGTTCCTCCTCCATCACCCCCACATCCTCCCCCGGTTCTGGCGCCACCACCTGTTCCGGTGTAGAATCCTCCTTGGGTGTAGGAACCTTTTCATCACGTTGATCCTCCGCCCCATCCTTTGCCGCGACGTCCTTCTCCGCCACGGTTTCCTCCGCAACGTCCTTCTCCGCCACATCATCCTCCGCCACCGCGTTGAAGTCCGGGACCAATGCCACCGCGATCATAGCATAGCGAACAACCCGCCCTGAAGCGCCATCCCTTGTCATAGATAGCGGGCCCACGATGTCCACCGCCACTGACCACGCCGATGACATTCTTTGGGTGTCCCCTCGACGTCGACGCGGCTTCTGGGTTCCTGCCTGCTCAATGCACAGCCTGCAGTCCCTGCGAAAGGGTCGATGTCCTTGGCGAAAGTGTGTCGCCCACATATCCTTTTCCCTTTGCGATAGCTTGGCTATCTTTCGTTGTTGTGATGCACCCTGCTCCAACATGCATCGGAGGGACTCCTTAATCGCAGCTCTCAATCCCGGAGCCCACAACGACCAGGACTTTGATGCCTGAATGCTGGCTTGTAGGTCATCAGGAAGGGGTTCATCATCACCTCGTGCTCGAAGTCCATGTAGTTCCATCATCCCCGGCATGTTGGTGAGCAGCGATGTCGGTTTCTTTTTGGAATGCCCCACGGCACCCTGATCTAGAGTGACCATCCCCATGGACTCCTCCTCCAACAAACCCAAAACTTCCGGCCAACTCCAGAAAGACGGCATTCGTCCACCATCCCCCACCATCTTGGCCGGGTCCGCTGGGGACTCCAACAGGAAGCCCGTAGTCCCTTTTGGTGCACCCACCTCCACCTTGGCTTCTTCCGTGGCCAGATAGAGTCCAACCTGCTTGATGACGAGGGCCGCGTCGTGGTCCGCCAAACGCTGCTCTGCAACGCTGAGATTCGGTAGCCCGAAGCGATGTGCTCCTCGATCTCGAAGTGGCCTTGGGCCTGGTCGCCTAAATCGCAGCCTCGACACTGTTCGGCATGGGGGTCCACCTATGATGGCTGCCAAGGTTCCTTGCCTGGCCAAACTCATCAAGAAAGCCCACAACACCGGGTTGTGCAGGTCCTGCGACTTGTTGTGCATGATGTCCAAGGTGATGACCTCGCAGTCATACTTTTTGAGCTCCTCCCACTCGTCGGCCTTTTCCCCCGCGAAGAGATGAAGCACCACACGTTTAGCCGCCAGCAGCCGTCGTCGCTGCCGTCGATTCCATGGAAGAGCACCACCACCAAAATCATGCTCCTCCGTCATGTGCCGGAAGATCCTGGCAGGAACCTCGGGGAAGCGTTGGCTCCACCACGTCAGCAGCTCCTCCTCCAAGTTCTCCTCCCGGTAAACATCATCATGTTTTTTCCTCTCCACCTCCTCGATCTCCCGGATGAGCAGCAGAGCGTCCTCCTCCAGCACCACGGGACAACCTTCACGAAGGCGGGAAACGATCTTCCCCTTGCGGGGGTGCTCCACAGCACAACCACTCCTGGACCACACCATCTTGTAGCCCAGCTCAATCAACCCTCGAACCGGCACGATGAGCTCCACCGCGTCGGCCGACAACAACGTACCCGTCACCGGGTCTTGATGCAGCATGATTGAGCCATGTGCCAACTCCACATGAACCCTCTCAGCCTTTTCCAGTTCACCAGGTAGAGCTTGACGAAGGGGGTGAGTTGCACCACCATCCAAAAGCCCCAATGCGGTGCCCGCGTCCAAGTTGCCACCCCCGTCCATGAACTTGAGCTTGATGGCCTTGACCTTGGCGCTCCGCAATGACTTCAACAAAGCCGATGCCTCCCCCATCAAAGTGTCGATGGAGTCCGACTTGTTCGGCATGGGACCCCCTGCAACTCCGGAACCGGCTTCCGCCTCAGTCTTTTTCCCCGAAGCTCCAGTGGCCTCTTCAACCTTCACCTTGAGTGGCTCTCTTTCCGGCGAAGAAGGCTGTGAATCCTCCCCCCGCACCTTAGCCACCTTCACATTCTCCTCCTTCCCGAACTCCTTCTTCACATACGGACAATCGCGCCGAGTGTGGTTGAGGCCGGAACAGAAGAAGCACCGATTTTCCTTTGGGCTGAGGGTGCCATGCTTGAACTTGCATCGATCCCCTCTTCGACAGCCCTTGTCCGACAACCAAAAGCGACAGTCGCCCTTGAACTCCACCCCGTCGCCGAAGTCGCCGTCGTTGATGAAGCCCCCAAAGCAGCTGCCTTCACAAATGGAACGGTCGCTTTTCCCGCTCCCCCAATTCCTCCAGCGCCCAACGCCTGCTCTTCGGTCTCAGCCTGCAGCAGCTCCGCGAAGGTTTTGATGGAGTCCAAGTTGGGTCTTGTATCAATTTGCAACTGTTGCCTGCACACCGACAACCGGTATGCAGCTTGCGCACCAGACTTGGCAATGGCGTCCGAAGCCCGAGTCAAAACACCCGCCAAGATGACAGGGTCTGGCAACATCACCGCCAACTCTTGAGCCCGATTCCACCATCTCCGCCATTGACGCAGGTTCTGCGCCAATTCAACCATAGAGCCCGTAGTTTTGAGCTCCGTCAAAAACCGGATGAGAGTGACCCTCTCACCTTGTCCGCCAGGTTGAAACTTGACGAACAGCGTGAACAACAAATGGGTCACGCTCAGCTTCCTCGCAGCCACAGCCTCCGCCTTGATGTTGTCGGGGACCGCCTGCAACAACAAACTGGTCATCCTCCTTTCGGTCCTAGGCCACCTTGTAGCCGCCGATGAAGTGCCAGTGTCCAACCGAAGACGTTGAAGAGGATCCGAAGCCAACCATTGGGTATACAGCTCATCAACACCCTTCAAGGTCACAGCCCACCATTCCTCCGCCGACACACTCACGTCCGCGATCAAAGGCTGGATCGTGGCTAACCAATCACCGAAGGACAGTGCATTGGCGTCCGAAGGAAGTGGAGGTAAATCCACACTGCGAAAGGTCTCATTGACCGATTCCTCATTGCCCCCACCCATAGGAGCACCACCAACCAGGCCAGGTCCATAGTTTCCGCCACCTCCACCACCATTGGGCGGTAGCCCGATAGCACCCCATCCACCTGGTCCAAGCTGAATTCCAGGGGGATATGGCCAAGGGAAACATACTCCAGGTCCGGTTCCTTGAACGGGTCCAGGTCCAGGAAGATTGCCTCCAGGAACAGGAACACCACCACTTGTCGTCATAGTTGAGGATGAAGCCACCTGTGTTCCAGTCCCCGAAGGCTGCCGTGGTCCCCCGGTTTCCAGCACCTGCTGCTTCCCATCCCCTTGTGTTGCGCCTCCATTCTCCGCAGCCGTCTTGAACGAAGCATCGGAAGGCGGATTGCCTCCTCCCAGCAGCTGTCGAACACCATCAGCAAAACGCTGTTCGGCATCACGAAGAACTCGTTGGCGAAGAAGTTCAACGGTTTCTCCCGCCTCTTGGCTTTGGCTTTGCGGGAGATTCATGGTTTCCTTGATCTTTTCCGCTGACCAAGGGTTGATAGGCGACTGTTGCCTCGACATAGCACCCACGGTCACCACGTCACGTCCATGTTGTCCTCCAAGTTCACCTTCATATTGTTCAGGAACGGGGTCCGGAACACGGCAAGGACGAAGAGCTTGATCAGGCTGAGGTCCCCCACGTTGGCGTTCTCGATCACCATGAGATAGCTCCACTCTTGACGTTGAAGCCTCTTCCGCCATCGTTCCTCCCTCACGTTCACGACGTCCCGGAAGGATGGGCAACTGTCCTGATGCATCCGTAGCCCCCCCAGGATGGAAGACCACCGGATAACCCTGTGGATACGGGCCCTGTAGAATCGACCACCCACCGGGCAGTTGATCCCTAAGCTGACCCTGCATCACTTCCGCAGCCGCCATAGTCCCGCCACCAAGAAGACCTCCTCCAGGTAGAGGTGGAAGTAGCCCGGCCAACATAGTACCAGGTGATGGTTCCAACTGCAGTTGGTCCGTTCCAGCACCTGTAGTCCGGGGATCCGTCCTTGCCCCTCCTGGTGTCCCTGCGGCTGGTGCCTGGCGTGTGCTCTTCACCAAGGCCGGTCTCCGCGCACTAGGTTCCGCGCTCTGAGTTCGTCTGGCTGGCGTTTGGTTGGCCAGCAGCTCATCCAACCTCTCATCGGCTGTTTGCTGCCTTTCCTTGGATGCAGATCGTCGCCGGCTCAACATGGATGTCATGGCACCGCTGACCGCTTGGGCTCATAACCCATGCTTCACGAAAAGCGGTCTTTGTTTTCTTGAGCCAAACACGCAGGCGTTTCGGCCTGTGGTCTTGTGTACCTAGTTGTACACTTCTCGTTTTGTGCGTCCTGTTTCCAGATCCGCAGTCGGTAACATACTGGTTTGCAGATATATGAGGTCGATCTTCCGCATGAGACCTGGCAAGGCTCTTGCGATGACTGGGCTCCTGAAGGGCAATGTGTCCCAAATCCCGGATTTATGCAGCTTGGCACGAAAATGAAACTCTACGCATCATGAAACTCCAGATGTTGCACTTTGGCTGCTGTGGCGATACTGTGGGCCACATTCAGTGCCATGGCCAAGCTGCTGGAAGAGTGTACGCCAAGGACTGTCTACTGCTCCAGGAGTTGCTATGCATGTCATCTACGGCAGGAGGCAGGGTGTTTCTCACAAAAGGACTTTCTCTTTTAAGCATAGAACAAGTTCGCAGTTCTGCCACGTTACAAGTTGTTTCCCAAGTGCCTCAGCGAACTGGACTCCCTGGAAGAGAGGAGAGGTTCACTCACGGAAGCGGGGGTATCCCTTACAATTTGGGATATATACTGTAGTTTGATGTAATTTGACACTCTCTCCCTACAAGTCCAAAGATCCAGTAAAACCTGGTCTTTTACTTTCTGAAGTAAGGTTTTGTATGATCAACTCCAGTAAAATGAGGTCAAACTGACCTGTAGGGTCTCCGCGGCACTCAACTTTCTGAATGCCGTCATCCTGAGGCACCGGCTCTATCAAACATGCAGTGATGTCATATAGATATGGACAATGGACAGATATGGATAGATCCTTGATCCAAAAAAGCCCATGCAGGAGACACGCTGTACTCGGCGGTTTCTGTGGCTTGGGTTTTGCGAACTGCCCGTTCTGTTGCGGTTTGTCATGTGTTCGCCACGCGCACGGATTCGGATGCGCCATGATTTTTCATGTACCACAACCATTCACAGACGGCTATGGAAGAACCAAGAAGTAGCAGGTTGTAAGATGTTGTAAGATCTTTTGAGCCATAGCCACGCTGGGCTTGTTTGGGCTTTGGTGCCTCGAAGCTGATTCCCGTTTGACCAAGGCAAATGAACCAGGAGCCTGCTTTGAGGCCTGGGGATTTAGAGCAAGTCTTTCGAGGCCGGGACAGTCCGGCAAACCGGGTCTCGTGCAGTGGTTTTGGTGTCGGTGCTCAACGAATGTGCGGTGAGGACACAGGTGGTGCCTGTAGAGGAATCCATTTTTAACGTCTGGCATCAAAGGTTACCACTTGCTATGGTCGAGTTTCGGTCACCTAGCCGCTAGTGAGCCCACGAAAAGCCACGCTTCTCAATTGAAGCAGAAGGATCTTTGGGTGTGATCAGCCGTGGAAACTGGTTGCCTTTCGATTCAACGTTGCTTTTTTGGTTTTCCTATAGACTGGCCACGGCAGCACGGCAGACATGAACGAGCGCAGCAAGAAGTACAGCACGGCCATGAGGGTCTTGAGCCAGTCGCCATGGCACCTTGGCACTTGAGATGAGAAGTGCTTTCTTCTTACGAACAAGAAGCTACGATCGGGGCTCCTGGCATCGCTACGAACGGAGCAAAGGCTTTTTGTAGCGACACTGCAAGACATATCACCACCAAACATCCTCAAGCATCAATCGTTCCAAACAGCCGCAGTTGACGATGCAATCAAGAACACCTTCCAACAATGCCAAACTTTTCGCCATCCGCAGTTTGAGGATCGTCACCTTTGATGACATCATTTCAGAGGAGGAAATGGCTGAGTTGTTGGCTTCCACGAAGGTCTTCAATCAATCCAGAGATCAAGGCGAGGCCAATGCCTTTGGAATGCAAGAGGCGCGCCATCACCAAATGGTTCCGGCACCATCGCTTCCAGTTACGTCGGTGAAGTTTGCCGTTGCCAACACTAACCATCACCTCCTACACAAACTATGCAAACTTTTGTGGGAGAGAGCATGAGAGAGCGTCTCATAATATTGCGGACCTGTCCAAAGACATCGCAGGGAATTATTTCATCCAAGCGAACCTCGCAGACGGCTTGGTGCCAAGATACCTGCAAAGAGCTCCCCAGCTACATCGCCGTGATAAATCGACGCTGAGCGCAGCATCATGACTTACCAAGGCCCGACTCAACTGGTCAGTTGAGACCGTCCTAGAGAATCCAACTAAAGACCTGGAGGGGAGGGTGCTGGTAACTGTCGGATGCTGGGAACCAAGGACCTCAAGCACCCCCCGACCGAACCGGGGGCCCTACGGATCCCCCGATCCACCGGATGACCAGGAAAACCCCGGTGGTGGAAGACTGAAGACGATATGACCCGTGGTGGTTTTGGGGGTCCAAGCCCTGCAGTTCGTTTGCAGGAGGGTCTCCAAGTTCATGTCCTCCGCCCTTCGGTTGTTTCGACCTAAGCCGGACGTCCTCGGTCATCGACGATGGAATCATCACGCGTAACCGTCCGTCATGGGTGTGCGGGCCCAATGGCCGCATGCAATACTGTGCAAGGATGTGCAAGGTGTTTTTGGGTTTCCATTTTTTTCGTTGAGGATGATATGGACATTGGATGAAATTGGACCTCCTCCGCCTCGGTAGAAAGATCGGGTCCCTGTTTCGTCCCTGTTTCGTCCCTGTGGTGCCACCGGACCTCGGTGCGGCTGAGGAATCGCAGAGATTGTCCAGGTGCCAAGTGAGAACTTCGAGTCCATGCAATTTCTGTCACTTGGATCGCTTGGGTTTGAGGGGAACTGAACACTGCGAGAGTGCGCGGCTGCAATGCGCAATGCACAGCAGCAAAATCACTGAACACTGCGAGAAGCTAGAGAGATGATGGCAGGCAGTATGGCAGGTCTATTTCAGAAACTATTACAATGATTCATGATTTGTTTTTGCGCAGTCCCAAGCTAAGTCACCTCTCTTCAGAAAAGAGGCGGACTTAGCCAGAAGGTACACAGGTCTCATTGAGCATGCACTGCACTTAGTTCAAATGATCTTGAAGCAGAAATCCTTGCTGGCCAGTGGTGCAAAGCACCTCCAAGCTACAGTTCCCAGCTCTGAGAGAAGCGCTGTCGCGCGGGCCAGCGCGAGCTCTGAGGAAGTACCACGTTGGCGAGCGCTACGTAGAGCACCATGACATGAACAACGAAAAGGAGACGTTGTAAGCCAGGGGCTGGTTAAGGCATTGCGGCATAACAGAGTTTTGGGCCTCTCCACACGAGAGGCTTTCCTGTATTTTGGGGTTCACAACCCTTGAACTGCATGCTGGGGTGGCGAAATCATGCTTGCGCATGACTTGCCTTCACGTTGACTTGACCCAGCAGAATGACCTTCTTCACGATCGAAGGACCTTGATCGATCGGCAGGACAATGACTTCGCTTGTGGTCCCCGGATTTACACCTTCTTCCTCTATCTTTCGGATGTGGAGGAAGGTGGCGAGACGTCGCTCAGCAGGAAGAGGAAAGCAAGTACAGTGACGTAGCCATATCAACCTGTCAGAGTAGCTGAGATGACACATTGCAGTGGAAGTAGAGCGGATATCAGAGTCTGAGCTGAAATTGTAGCTGGCAAACAATGGAGAGGATCCTTTTTGTGTTTTACCATCCTCTTGGCTTTCCAGCTTAATGAACTGTCCCCCAAAGCAAAGTGAGGGCTTCCTCCACCAGGTGTGCGCTAAGCTCGTTTGAAGGGAGGGTTTTCTAGCAGATGAGGGTTCTTGAAGCGGAGTCTCAAGACGGTGTCCAAGATTGTTTCAACACACCCAGTTTGCTTGAATTTTTGAGGCCTTCACCAGGTGTCATGTAGACTCATCAACCATTCTAAACCCCTTTCATTTGGATTGTCAAACCACAGCAAAAAACAACAAATACACACCTTTTTCAGTAAGATCCTTGTGAATTCATAACATCTGGGGATGATTCATCCAATTCATCCAATTCATCTTCATGGATTTCTTCATGAAATTCGCTTGGTTCCTCCGAGTCGACTCGGACCGAGGCATTTCACGCAGCTCAACCTCTCCGTGAAGCCACGCGGCTCGGCGGTTTGCTCGGTGGGCCGAGCAAGGTAGGAAAAATGGATCAGACGGTCCAATTGAAACATCTCCTGTAGTTGAAGTCATCATCCATTACTGTAGTCATCATCCATTAGTACTTGATTATGGTCCATTAGATGGTACTAATTACTTCAGTTTGTGAAGTCATCATCCTTACGTTCTTCTTTCTTCTTGTTGACGAAGACCGGTCGCAAAGTCAAACGCACGAAGTGAACTCTCGGCCGTCTTTTGTTGAGGCGGCCCAACTAGACCCAACATGCATGGAACTTCTTTCGTCGGAAGACGGGAAGACACCGTCCGCAAGCGAACGTCCTCCTGAGCCTCCGAAGTGAACGAATTGGTCGAGCGATCACAACAGCACAACAGAATATCATATTTCTGCTTTGTTATGACAATACAAGTAAGTGAAGGCAAGTGGTTCACAGACATTATTATGGTAGCTCGATATTGGGGATTTTTGTGTTGGCCTTAGCATGCCTTAGCAATCTCTCTCCTTGATCCAAGAAAGGCATAGAAAAGCCCTGACCGCCCCGCCCTGAGGGAGGCCACGGATCAAGCGGATTTTGGCCTAGCATGGCAACAGAGGGATGATATGGGCGTGGGTCAAAATCCGGACATCCTGGTTGACCCCTGAAAATGAACCGATGCCTGTATCAGGGATGTCAACCTACCATGGTTTGGTGGGTTTGACTCACAGCCATATGAAGGTTGGGAGAAGGTCTTCACAGTGCCACAATAGGGATACCCTCGGCTGTTGCACATGCTTGAGGCAAAATCCGTCCATGGCTGAAGATAGATCGTCATATTGGCTCGGCAGTTTGTCCAACGACGGTCGGAGCCATCCATCCAAGAACGGCCTCGGGCAAACCTTTTGCATACCGTATATATAATGAACTTAAAACGACCACTGCTTGGTCCGAGGCAAAGGCTCTGGTCTTCTTTGGCCTTCCGTTCTCTCGGAGAATCCCACCGTTGGGTTGCCCGGAGAGCGATCTGGCGGGTGTGGTGCTGAGTCAACTTCACCAAAGGCTCCAAGGCTTGCGTTTTACCTGACCACTGGTTCTTTAAGTCTTAAAGGAGCTTGTGAAGTGACCTGGGTGGGGTTTGGGTGACCACCAGTTCTTTAAGTGGCGACCTGTTCCATTTGGAGGATGATACTGTCACTGCACACTTCGCCTGATCATAATTTAGCAGATAAAGGCCAACAGCCACGGGCTTGCCTGTGAGGAATTCTGGAACTGCGAACGGCTCTGATTGCTCACAGTGCCCATTGTGCTTTTTAACTCACTCAACTGTAGGCGGTCGCTACTGATTTCCAGGGCCTCCATGTAATGCCTTGACCGAGGTGCAGGATGAGAGGACGATGCATGAAGCCAAGCCTGTCCTTCGTGGCATGAAGATGGCGGCGAATGTGCGGCTAGGTTGATACTGTTGATGGACAAAATCCTGCACCACTTTGCGCACACTTTCCTTGCTGCCCTCGTTCTCCCTCGTTAACATTGGGGCCACCACAGTGAGAAAACAAAAACAAGTTGAAGGTCCAAAATCCTGCACCACCTCCTCAGAGGGTGCCCCAACATTGAATGAGGGGGCGCGGGGGTTGCTATGCGACCCTTCCAGGGGAAAGTGGTGAGGTGGTGCAGGATTTTGTCCATCAACAGTATGGGTTTGTGCCAGGATCAGAATCTGGTGAACCAGTTCGCAGCGGATCTTTGTGAACTCATGATGAAATCGACAATTTTGGTGAAATCTCCCAAAATGCCACCGGCCTTGTATAATTCTTGTTAACCAGCGCTGAAGACATCTACGAATCTACCACGTTTGGCTTTCCAAGGGAGTCCTTATGATACACTGAAAGATCAGAGTGTAGAAAAGACACCTTTCAGAGATTCATTGTGCTGCGTTGTTTCGCTTCATGTGCTTTATTCGCTGTATAACTGTATAATCAGTCCTGGACATATTTCATGTCACTTTTCAATCTTGCGGCGAACAACTCCTGGAATTCTTCTGTATTCTGGAATGGTTCATTCAACTGGCCGCAACTCAGGTGGGTTCATCTCTACGACTTCAGCACTCCCAATCACTGGGCCTGCACCGGTGGCGGTCGTTGAACTTCAGAGCCCGCAGCCGGGCGCCGAGATGAGAGGCCGTGCGCCGTTGAAAAAGGTGAGGCCGTGCTCCATACCTGGAAGAGCTCCGACTGTGTGTTTTGGAGGCTTGGGACGGTGAATGACAACCACGCGGTTGGATCAGTGGAATGTATAGGATAGCTAACTATGTGTGTTTGAAATAGGGAGACCTCCGAAAGACGGCGTCGCACTAAAAGACACACCCACATGTTGTAGCAGCTGTAGCAAAGCGTTTGATTTTTCGTCGAACATGGTTACTTCCCAAAGACAAGAGACTCCGCAGCCCATTTTGCTCCATCTAGTCTATGGGGAAAACTTCATGGATGGGCCTTGCATGGATCCATCAGATCAAGGTAGGCCTTGCACAATGTCCAGACAATAGGTAAGGTGCCCCTTTAACCTTGAACTGACTAATCTGACTGCATGATCAACAATAGGTCCATAATTGACCAGCATTTCAGAAGAACCCTTTCTCTTTGGAGGTACGGACTCTAATATCGTCCCTTACTTTCAGGCCTGGAGGTCTGGAGGTCTGGATATCTTTCTCTTGTAAGATCTGATCTTCGCACGTCCAACACCGAGAAACCTCGCCCTCCGCGCTTCGCACGCTGGTCGCTCACTGCCGCAGTCGCGTCGCACGCGACGACGATGCCACGGCGATGCGCGCCCGCGGCGCCCGCCCGTCCACGACCGGCACGATCGGCGTGACGGGCTTGGCGACGCCGCGGCTGCCGGAGCTGGCACCATCCAAGTCGGGGGACCCGAAGTACCTGGAGCTTCAAGTGATGGCGTAAGGGCTGGGATGGCGGAATGGCTGGGAACAGATCGGAGGGTAAAAAGGGGCAGTTGTGAGTCAGGTTTTGGAGTTGGAAGGGAGTACAGCTTCACAGGGACAACAGATTGCAATTGGGCTAGGTGAACCGATCAATGAAGAGACCCGTTCGAGTTTGTCATAAAGAAAGGAGCTGGTCCCAACCGCCCGAAAATGATCCTGACCCCGTCCAGAAACTATTTGACGTCAGAGGGTGCCCTGTCGTCATGGTGGGTCCGAGCACGGGAGATGTGGGCGCCGGCCATGTGCTATGGGGGAGCGGGGAAGGTTCACACACCCAGATGAGTTGAGAAAGCGGAGGATGAATGATGTGCACCATGAGTCGACCCAGCCATGTGCTCCAAGAGTGGCTCCCCAAAAACGATAGCTGGTGGGTCCAAGAACCAAGAGGGTCCCAGCAACATATTTCATTGTGATTGTATTTCGAGGTGTATAGAGTTTAGGATCCTTTGGGCGTCCCTTTCCAAGTATAAGGATCTTGCAAGCCGGTCACAACTCCGGTCACAGGGACTATGCAGGCGCTGTAGTTGAAAAACATAAGCCAACAGGCTTGCTAGCATGTCCTTGACGCAACAGGGACCCTAGGCCATCTTAGATGATCACCTTAAGTAGATGTAGCTCTTTCAACTTCGCATTTTCGCCCGGGCAAACATGCTGAGTTACGCCCTCGCCAGGTATCCGACGCTGATTCAAGGGTGGCTTGGTTTCAGCAGACATCACCCGTCCAGCCGACGGAATATGGATGCAATCGTTGAGGGATCGTGGACGGTGATCATTGAGGTTGATTCGCCAAAACCATGAAACCATGCATCAAGGACCTGCAACGAAAGACACTTTATTTTTTCCATAAGTTCGGTACTCAAACGCCCCTCAAAAAACTAGTAAGTCATCCTCAGTCCAGGTTCCTTTAACCTCAAAATACTATAGAGGGCCCCCCTTATTTATCTCGAACCTGCCCGCGTCGCCGCTGCGGATGCTCATGCTCTGAGCACGGCGGCACAATCAGTCAGTGATATTCTCGAAGCTATAGTAACAGGTGCATCGCTAGTAGTAACAAGTGCCTTACTAGTAGTAACAAGAAGCTATTAGGAACAAGTGCCACGCTAGTAGTAACAAGTGCCTTACTAGTAGTAACAAGAAGCTAGTAGTTGAAGTATTACAGGTTTCTTCACCCGGAACTTCCATGTGCTTTCGAACACGTGGCGGGCTTATTCCGCGCGGCACGTGCTTTTGGAGGCCACAAGAGCCGTCAGATGATGCGAAGGCTGCGAGGGCAAAGGCTCCGAGCTCGCTGTCCGAGCTCGCTGGTTGAGTGGGGTGAGTGCAGTGAGTGGGTAAGTGAGTTCAGTGAGTCAAACACATTCAGGTGGCATCATCCTTCAAGCTACTTTCCTGCCTTCAGTGTCCAGGCGGTTATATGAATCATATTGAATCATATCGATGTTCATGCTTTTTGGGCACATGGCCAGTCAAAGCGCGGAGTGCTCACTTCGGAAGTATGGGACGTCGATCCCTTGTCGATGAGCAGATCTTACTCACCGGAACTGCTTGAAAATAGTGCGAGGCCCTTCGGGAGCCGCTGCCTCGCCGGGTGAAGCTCCAACCCTTGGAGAACGCCGCCACCAGCGACGCGAAGCCCAGCGACGCCGCGCCCGGGGCAGCGCCCAACGCGGCCCCAGCGCCCAAGGCGAAGGGGGTGAACCGCAAAGCCTTCCAGGCCGAGAGAGGGAGGGGAGGCGCTTCGCATCGCGAATCGCCAGTTTTCTCACGTTGATCCAAATTGTGGAGGGGCTGTAGGGTTACAGGTTGTTACAAGGCCATAGAAGATCATGAAAATACCAGGATATACCAGGTGTTGGGGAGTGGAAAATAGGCCGGGAGGACCATTTTGTTCTACGAACAGGAGGTTTTCCCACGTCCATGTTCGTGGCTTGGGCACCATGATCTCCACTGCTTCCCATGTTCTTTACATGGGGAGCCCACCAGAGCTCTTTAGACAACCAAGGTGCTTGAGGGTCTTTAAGAGCTAGACTCAGGTCTTGTAGCCTTTCAGTACGTTTGAGTAGAGCATCGTAAAACCAACACAGCATCCAACAATCCAACAACATCCAACAGCCATTCAACACTTCAATTCTCTTCTTCCACCTCCAACAAAGACACTTCAAAAACCCCTTTGTTTTCCTCCCACCTCCGGCGCCCCTTCCTAACGTACACCCTCCGACACCCGAGGCCTGCCGGAAGGACGCGGACGTGCGGAGCGTCTACTCCTGGGAGCAGCGGAAGGTCCTGGGCAGCGGATCCTTCGGAGAGGTCTTCGCCGTGAAGCACCGTGCCGCTTCGGAAGGGGAGCGGTTGGGTTGTAGAAAGAACCACCTGGGCCTGTTAGGGCGGTTAGGGACTGTAGAAAGACGTTGGACTTGGACTTTGACTTTGGTTGTGTTCTTTCTGTTTTCTGTTTTTTTGCTGAACAACTGCTGAAGAAAAGATGGACTTTGGAAGAACATGGGAGAAAGGAACCTCTTTTTGCTGCGGAGAATAACAAAAAGGGTCCTTGTCGAGGACAGATGTCGGGCTTTCATGGTGGCTTCCACGATCTTCCAGAAATGTGTTGGGTTTTTGTTGTCGTCGTCGTCGTCGTCGTCAGCTCTTCTGTTGATGCATGTCAGGAGACTATGATGTGTCGCCTTCAGGTTTCATGTCATCGTTGTGTGATATTGTTGTAAATCAAACAGGCATACAGAAGCGCTTCAGCAACCTTCAACAAGACTCGATGAAGCTGGGCAAATAAACCTCCTATACACACACCATCCTACAGCTGGAATGCCAGAGGAAACCATCCACCGCACTCATCCCTACAGGTCCAGTCTGACCCAGTAAGACCTGAAAGCTGAGCATTTTCGTATGGTGTTTTTCTATGATCGACTCGTCAAATGAGGTCCAACTCACCTGCACCCAGCGGACTCGTTCTCGGGAATTTCAACGGCACGGCCCGAGGCTTCCACAGCAAGAAGCTGGTGGCCATCAAGTGGCCCGGACAAGGGGAAAACCCGCTCCAAACCAACGCGCGGGAGGCAGTGTTGGAAGGGCTGGTTTTGCTTGATAGGTGATTGCTTAAGGTCAATCCTCGGCCCTTTTGGTGAAGATGTTTCAACACCTTTTTCCAGGTTCCTTCAGCCAGTCCAAGAAGGGCTCAATACTACAAATGACTACAACTCTTCCATTTGCCCACTGGGGAGTGACCCTTTAGCTGCTGCCAAGATCAGCCGATGGTGCACCCCTGCGCATCGCGAACTTAGGAACGACCGTTGGCTCGGAGTAGCTTCTTGTTCCTAGTACGGCCAGGAGCCCCTAGTAGCGTCCTTGCTCCTAGCCAGGAGCCCCTAGTACTGGTTTGTGAATGGAATCTAGTCAGGCTGGCAGGGCGTGGGTTGTTGATGGTTGTTTCGGATTAAACAAACACCCGAATGCCTCCGAATGCTACGTACAACCAAGGCAAGTCTCCAAGGAGAAATGTGAACACTTGGAGCAACTTCGAATGGAAATTAGCGTCCTCAGTCGATTGCAGCATCCTCGGATCTTGCATTTCTTCGAAGCCTATGAGGATTTCAAGGACCGTGACCGTCCACGGCACCCGGGTCCACCGCGCGGTCGTCTCCCACCGCGTCTCGATCGACATCGGATCCGGTGGCGCGACCGGTCTCGTGGCGATCCGGTGACGGACATCCGGTCGACCGTGAGAAAGGATCGACGGTGACCCCAATACCAATAGGTCGATGAGACATGGATCAATAGACGACAGCTTAAGACACGACACCCCCTCAAGCTGTCTGAGCGCTGAGATTGACGGAATGGGATCCTCTCGTTGATGGACGGAATGAATCGATTGTTCTGAACCTGGGTAGGACATCTATATCGTCACCGAGCTTTGTAGTGGTGGAGATTTGCAGCAATGCATGGCCGAGACGAAGGGGGAACTGGTCTTCGCACATCACGCGGCCGATCAAATCCTAAGGGCTTTGATCTACTGTTTCTCAGCATAAAAACGAGTGGAACAGACTTTGAACAAACGAGGTGCGTAGTTCGGACCAGATCTGATCGGATATTAAGAAAAAGATGACAGGACATGACAGGGCTGTCAGTTTGACTCACGTGTTTGCTTGGGACAGTACAGGCCTGTACTGACTGTACCTCTCGAACTCTTTTCCACAATCCTTTTATTGCAGTGGCTTCTCTTGGTTTTTCATGGGGTAATGGCTTTGTTCTCAGCACAACTTTCTTTGACTGTAGTGGTTTGAGGATGTTTGAGGTAAGACTCAGTCCCAACCCATTTCCATGCGCTGTGGCAATCTTGGACACTGATACGAATTGCTTGTCTACATGGGCCTACAATTGGCCTGCACTGCTTCAAAGAACATTGAACCTTTAGGGCGGCATTTAGGGATGTGAACACTGTCATACACAGAATCACCAACGACCCCCAAAACCAGCAAGCCCACACTCCTCATTCACCTGGAAGTGAGTGTGTTCCCGGGAAAAAGACAAAAATCAACGCATTGAAGACAAGCTTCATGGCCTGAATTGTTTATGTAATTTTAATGTAATATGTAATTGCTATGCATATTGCGTGGCTGGTGCATGTTCAGTGTATTGCATCGTCAGAAATGCTGGGCTCGTCAGTACGTCCAAGGCCACTCCCGCGGCGTTTGCCACCGTGATTTAAAGCCGGAGAATGTGCTTCTGGTGCGGTGGCTAGGCATGCCACCGCGGTGGCGAAACCACCGGCGGGTGTTGGTTGAATCCTGCTTGATCCACGTTGGATTGTACCCTAACCAGTCCCACTTTCCATGCCTATATAGAAAATGACACCAGGCCGGGTGTAAGACCTGCGGAGAAATCGTAGGGGGCTGAGACGATCGACGGCGTTGGCGCTGTTGTTGCGATGACGATCGACGGCACGAGCCGGATTCGCAGCCCTAGAATCCGTGCATCCTGAGCACGTGCATCCTCCGTGCATCCTCCTTTTCTCTCTACTGGTATACAGGACCTTTGCCTGGCCTTTCTTTTGGGGCCTCCATGGGCCTCCCATTCCAGTCTCTTCGCTCTTCCACCTCTCCCCCCTCTTCCAAAGACGTGACGCCACCGCTCCGCTCTCTCCTGAGGAAGCTCCAGCCCACGGACCGCACGCCGCCCATGCGCTTGGCGGACTTCGGCCTGTCCGCCTCGGTGCAGGCGCTGCTGGCGACAGGTGGAGTGGACAGGTTTCAGCGACCGAAAAGAGGTCAACAGGAGACCAATGAGAGGGCGAAGAAGAGTCACCACTGAATTAGTTAATGTATTTAGTCACTGTATAGTCACTGTAGTTTAAGAGCATGAGCACATGTGGGTAGTTTGAGGGAAACACAACATCAAGTTCAGGGTGGTCGTTTCTTCTTTCTACTCGTTTCATAGTTTCTTTACTATAGTTTCTCAGCATGCATTTTGTGACAACCTACAGTACTGCATAATCTGTACATTGCAGAGAACACCCTTATTTTTTGACCCCCGTAAGCTTTCAAGTCATCGATCGATCGTTGACATGTGCTTTTGCACCCTTTCAATTTATAACTTTTGCATACTTTCGCTATTCAAGACGTGACAACAGGCAGGCGAGAAATATCAACTTATTATATATTCACTATTGTCCACTTACATGTCTTATTTCCTGTTCCACCTTCAAGTCCAGACGAAGCTCATGCCTGAAAGACCGGGGACTTAAGACCGGCGGTGACCAGTGGGTACGCAGTTTCTGGGGCTTCTGCAGCGCATTGCACCGATCGATGTTGCGTTTGGCGGTGTTGCAGTTCTGGTGGAAACATCTCGTTTTGGTACCTGATTGAGCTCACCACGGCGAGCACCGAACGGTGTTTTCTGCCCAACACACCGGTCAACACGGCGCCCAAAACGGGAAACACGGTCAACACGGCGCCCGCCGTGTCCACACGATGTTTCTCTCTCCCTTGGCCCAGGCAGCGCAGAGCAATGTGTGTCATCAGATCAGTCACGTCAAGTCCCGCTTCTCCGATGGCTCCATGAACGAGATCCCGCCCATGGACTCCATCGTGCCAAGTCTGACACGAGACACGTAACACATGAGGTCTGGAGTATGCCTACTCCAATGGGCATAAACTGAAACCGCCTTGATGAAGTGACAGTGGATTGTGACTATGTTGAGGGGTAAACCAACCATCACCAGCCTATCAACCCGAAACATCCTAAAACTTCCTAAAAGCCTTTTACTTTTGAACAATGCTGAAAACAGAAACGATTCTTGGACCTTGACCTTGGAATTGCTTGAGGATCATGGGGGTGCCAAAAACAGGTCGCTGGCAGATTCCACGAATTCACAGGCTTTGGGGGGAAGGAAGGTTAACTGCCAACACCCATCTCCCTATCTGCCAATGTCTCCTTTCAACTCAAAAACCAATCCTCAGTACTTTGCTGCTCGGTGTTGAGCATTCAGTAAATCAATCGGCGATTTCAGCTCGATTTTTCGGAGTTGAAGATCGAACGGAACAGAGAATCCCTTGAAACTCATAGCTTGATCCAAGAAACCACGGTATTGGTGGGCAACGACCTTCCACGCTTCTCAGAAACACAACATCTGAGAGTTTTGGTCATCATTTCTCAACTCCATGATCAAACACACCCCGGACCCCAGACAACTTCTACAGGATCTTCCAGTTTCTTTGGCTCCATGATCTTCGCTTCATCCGGTCGACTTGGCCTTCCAAAATCGAAGGTCGGCACGGCTGAATATATGGCTCCCGAAGTCATGGCCGTCTTGGATGCCCAGATCAGGGCCGCCTCGCCGCGCGGCGTGGCACGGTGCAAGACGCGGCGCTGCTACGACTTCCGCTGCGACGTGTGGTCGTTGGGTGCCGTGGTGAGACAGGTGGAGATCACTCGCAGGGTCACACAGGGATCGCTGAAGAGGGGTGAGACAGTGCGGGGACTCGCAGTGGAAAGAAGAAGGCGTGATTTCGTGTTTTGACATATATATATATATATTTTTTTTTTATATATACAATTATGGCTTTGGGGTAGTTTCCATGTTCCCAAGTTTGGTTCTGTACTCTTTCGGGTATTGGTAGACAGATCAGGGTTTTGCTGGTCTCTCTCGCTGTCGTGAAACGTGCAGGGAGGGAGGTCCATATCGCTTGGTCTTCACCTGGGGTTCGAGTTGCTTGACAGTCTCAAAGGTCAAAAGGCTCTTCGCAAAGCAACCCATCTGGGCTGGAGCCGTTTCAACAGAGTTTGTTTTGCCACCGCTCGCAAAACTCTTGTCGAGGTGTCATCATTTTCAGCTTGCTCAAAGGTGAAGCACCTTACTCTTTGGAAGAGCTCCTTGGCAAGTCCATCATCGAGATATCAAGGGGCGGATATCTAGTATCTCTACAGTCGGGTTGGCTTGATCAGGCTGGTCGTCTTGATCTATGGAACTTGATTCATTGAGAGCAAATGCCCTGACTTGGCTTTTTGTGGGCTGTGCGAAAGGAAGGGGACCACGTGACTTGTTGGGCGCAGACTCTACTCTACTATTTCGTGCACCGCCCTGTCAACACGCGCATCTCCTATAGCTCTTCATCGCTGCCATCCGAGGATGGTGGCCTATGTGGAAGACCAGACCTCGCTGCCGCGCCTCTCCAGCCGTGCAGAGACGTTGGATCCGATAGCCCTGCAGTTTGTGGAGCAATGCTTGCGGGTGCCATACAGATCGAGGCCGGTTCCCGCTCAGGGCCAACTGGAGTGACCCATCGGCTCTCCTCACCCTGGGATTTGCTCCCCTCCAGAGCAACTGGAGGAGTGCGCCACAGAGGTCAGCAGAGGGGCGCAGGTTGACAGGATTGATCTTAGTAGAGCTATCAAGCTTATTCGTCTACCAAGCGCCCCCCAAGCTTATTCATCTTGGGGTTGGAGGCTGGCCCCTATCAAGCTTGTTGCCCTCTTTTCTTGGGCCTTGCTCTATCTTGTTCACTACCGAATGGTTACCCTGACACCTATCTCGCAGTTTCGAGTGAATGACGAGGGAATGTGAGGGCGTCTTGAAAGGTGAGAGCTGCCGTCTTCAAGACTAAGAAATTGATCTTATCTTTTGAGCAGAAAGCTCACACAATGGAGTTACTTCTGCAGTCAAGTTCTATTTCCTTCCAGCAAAACACAAAGCCAAATCATGAAATGGGAAATAGGATGGAGGAACATGGAGGAACAACACACAAATCAACCGTAACCTCAATCTACTGTACCATGATGTACCATGCATTTATGGCCTTTTCACTTTGTGGACCAAATTTGTTTCTCCGGGCTAATAATTGTTTCTCCGTCCTTTTTGGTTGATCTTTATCATTGGACATATGAGTCATATGAGTATGAGTGATAAGCTTGAAACTGAAGAAATTGAGTCAGCACATCTGAAGCATACCAAATGGGGACACTGCTTCTTTGAGCTTCAAGATGGTTCAAGGCTCAGCGCTCGACAATTGGCAGCCGAAGCCTTCATCAAAACACAGGAGTTCGGACGGCTACGCCGTGCGGTTCAGATGATGTTACCTCAATGTTTAACCTTCCAATCCGCGACTACACTATATATTCTTACGACTAGTAACAAGAAGCTACTAGGGGCTCCTGGCATCGCTACTATAGGAGCATTCGTACTATGGCCAATGGAAAAATCGAAGCCGCTTCCATGTGTGAAGGGCTCGTTTTCAGCACCTCACGCCCTAACTCTGCCGCTGATCTCCTTCAATCAGACCCGGTCTTTGGTGAGGAGCCACGCAGTGCCTTCGCCCGGATCGACAAGGATGGTTCTGGCACTGTAGATATGGAGGAGAACCGTGAGAATCATTTGGCAGCCGCGAAACGGATCGAAACGGCTTGCATCGCACCTGCAGGCAACCACTCGTTACTCGTTGATTCCAAGAACAGCCAGCTCTAAGGCAAAAAGATGCAAACATGTCGCTTCTCAAATCACAACTCTTTGGCATATTGGAATCTCCATTGTCTTCAAATCTTTGGAATTCCAAGCAGCCAGGCTGATTTGCCTCTGGTCCATGCACCAAGCACCAAGCACGAAGTCAGGAGCTTCGACAGTATTTGCTGGACCATGGGCTGAGAGAAGAGCACTTGGAAAAACTCTTCGCTCGCTTAGATCTCGACAAGGACTGCGCAGACGGAGTGAATGGCGCCCATGCTCCCAGTTTGCCCTCGAGTGTGGAAATTGAGATCAACAACACTATCAACAACTTGAAATGACCATTTCGCAACCTTTCCATAGCCCTGACACTGTGGGCGGAAATGGCTTTTTTCCGGGTCCAGACTGCACCCTGGAGGGTGCAGACTCACGCTTCCTGTCAAGGTCGGGTCCGGACGCTTCGGGAGGGAGTTACTTTGAATGATCTTACCCTCCTGCAGATGGGCGACCCTGAAAAGCTTTTGGGTGGTGAGAATCGTCGGACTCACAGGTCCATGGATCTGTTTGCACGGGGATCATGCACACTATATAGTTGGCCTTAAAGTGAGGCCGGATTCCTGTGACCCTTTGGCTACACAACTTGCAGGGCTTTTCAGCTGTCAGGACGGGCATATCTCGCAAGCGGAGTTCCAGGAAGGTTTCCAGGCCTTCATCGCTCTGAAGAGCATGTCCGGCCAGGCAGGCAAAGGAGGTCCGGCAAGGCGAAGGATGAGATGGGATAGTCGACTACAGGAAGGGCGAGACGACCCCATCTGAGCTCAAGCATTTAGTTCTTTTTATCCACAGCTCAAATGCTTGAAGTCGGCTGACACCTCCACACCTCCACTTGGTGTTGGCTTCGGTGTGGTGAAACATGGTGAAACTGTGGACGTAGAAAAGGCACACCACGTCGTGAGAAGGTGCACATGTTTGGTGTGTAATACCCGTGCTGGACATCTTTGGGATCGGGTTTTCCTCACCTTCACCGGCTGCGCCGCGCCTAAAGGCGCCTTTGGTTGGTTGGGATTTGCTGGCCGTTCGCCGGTGAAGTCTGCGGTGATCCGTCGCGCCAGGTCATCTCCGAGATCATCCAGAACGTCGAGAAGTTCACCAAGTCCTCGCAACTCAAAAAGGCGAGAAACGTCGAGAGAGGTGGTTTTTCCCTGCTGATCGTTTATGATACCTGGAGAACCGTTTGATGATGTTTTTCTTGTTACTTCTTGTATCTG